GTTAGATGGGAAGACTTCCAAGTGGTTGGCAGTTGGGTTTATTTTGAAAGAATGAGGGGGTGGGGCTTGCTTGCTGCTTGTGAAGAGGGCTGATTGTGGCAGCTTTCATTCTAAGACAACCCTTCCTCAGGGTTACTAACTGCCCCCAGCCCTGCCTCCACCAGTGGGCGGTCAGAATGGATTCTGGGCCTTGGGAACCAGATGCAGTTCTGAGCCCCTAGAAAATTAATGTTGTACAGCAATGATCCTCATCATGGGTAACCTTAGTTGCAGGCTTATTCCCTTCCAGGAACTGAGTGTTCTTTCTCTGCATTGTCTCATTTAATGAAAAAGGACCAACAATAATAGCTAATGCCTCAATGTACTATGCCAAGTGCGCACCTGGACTATCCCGTAACCTGTATGGAAGTAGGTACTATTGTTACTTTTCTCATCTCACAGATGAAGAAACTCAGGCACAGAGAGGTCATGATACACAGTGCGCACCAGAGTTTAACCCAGGCACGCTGCTCCTGAGTCCAGGTTCTTAGAGGGGCTTGTCCCACTCAGAGGGTTACTAAATGCTGTCCCAGGGACTTCAACCCAGGTCTGTTGTCTGTAGTGTCATTTATGTCCCACTGTGCCATGCTTCTAGGGACCTTAAATGCTGATTTCTTACTCACCATAACCTGTTGCCTCCCAGCACCAAAGGCCTGGCCTGGAGAGCAAGGCCTGTGATCACCATTTCTTGTTCATACACCTTCAGTGGCTCTCAGGTGCCACAGGGTCAGAGCCAGACTCAACCTAGCGTTTGAGGTCCTTAGAGATAGACTGGGCTGATCTTGTTAGCTCGATTTCCCAGCTCGCCTTGCACTCATATTTCTAACCAGAGAAATGGCTCATTCCTTATCTATCCTGAGTGCAGGGGTCAGATCTGGCACTCAGAGCCACGAAGCCCTGGGACACGTTCCTCTGGCAAACACATCCCCCCCCCCACAGGTTTTATTACACAGAGAGGGTAGGGCTCAGTCCTTCTCCGCTGCTGCCTTCCTCAAGGCTTCAAGGATGTTGCTTAGCTCCTCTCTCTTACTCTTGGCAGGGATGTGTGTCCCCACCCTTTTCTTGATAAATTTCAGGGCCCTTTTGTCCTTGAACAGCTCCATGGCGAGCCGTCCCTAGGGGGCAAAGCTACACACCTCTCGGATCGTGTCCCAGACCACTTGGTGTGCTTGGTGAGGAACCCGTGGTGGCAGCTGTGCCTCATCTTGCCCACGTTTTTTTATCACCCTCTGGCCCTTGTTGAGGCCCACGGCCATGTGGTAGCAGAGAGCCATGGCTGCTGTTCCTCGATGGCTGCCACGGTGGAAGCCAAACACGGTATTTTATGTTGTTATTTCATGTTTGGTATCAGTACAGGATCATGGTTTCTCTCCCCTCCCCTAACCTTTGTGTCCTTTGACATGTTCCACTATTCTTTTGGCATTTCCTTACTTTCTGCCTCAGTGAGATGTCCCAGGCTCACAATGCAATTTCCCTACCCCAGCCGCGAGAATCAGTCATTTCTCCAAGGGGACTTGGTTCCTTCTAGTGGAGGAATGGTATTTAGAAATAGGATCTGGGCGCTAGGTGCTTGTTGCTACAGAGGTATTATTTCTCGTGGGCTCTCTTAGCAGACGGAACTAGGGAATACATTTGCACATGGTGTTTATAACTGAGAAGTTTTGCTTTAAAATCTGGACTTCTAGCTCCTCTTCAGAAACCTAAACAGCTGATCATGACCAGCAGGGAAATTGGCAACAATCAGCTAAAGCATCGTAGGGGGTCGACAGTATTTGTTTTCTCACCAAAGTATTTATTGAAGGCTCCCTGTGGGCCCGGTACTATGTTAGACCACATTAATACTAGAGTCTGGTATATGCAGTATGAGACTACCCTACTCTAATACCTAGTTACACCCGCCTTGCATGCTGGGAGGCAGCTGAGTTTCAATTTCCAGTACTTTGTTTTGCTTGCTTTCTTCCCTCCAGCTGGAAGGAAAGCTGGAGACCCTCACATGTCCACCTCACTCAAGGCCCAGCTCAAATTCGACTTCCTCCTTGAGACTGTCCCCAGTTTGCCCTGTCACAGGTCCCCTCTCTAGCCTCTAATCTATAAATCCTCGTAACATTTACCACCTTCAATTCTGAGTTACAGGTTTTTAGTTCATCCCCCTCCTGGTTTATTAACATTCTCTTTCTGATAAGACCGTACATTCCTTGAAGGCAGGGGCTGTGTCTGTTTTGCTCCCGGGGAAGCCCTTTAAATCTAACATCAATAAAAATTTCCATCGGAAATCACTACAATTGATAACCTCTTACCGCATGTAGGACAGATGATAATAATGATAGAAGTGTGAGCAAAACAGGTATAGTTATGTCCTTATGGAGGTAACTGACTTCTGGGGGAGAGATAAGTTAAGATCACACAAGATGTATTTGTGGAATGATTTAAAAACAAATGATCTATATTTTTATTATTGTCCCCATATATATGCACCCTTAGAAAACATATCGTATTGACTGGTATTTTGTTTTCTATTTCAGGGCATGTCTTTCTTTTTTCACCGCCCCTCATGTCCTGCAATTATGTGATCCTTTTCAACAGATACATAGTGGTCATTAGTATACCATTCCCCTACTGATGGACATTTGGGAGGTTTCTGGGTTTTGTGTTTGCATTGCAGACAGTGATGTAACAGGGATCTTGTGTACTTGTTTCTCTGGTAGAGTCCAGGAAATCAAATTGCTGGGTCGTAGGATTGCTTTTCTTTTTCATTTTTCTTTTTGTTCGATACATGTCTGTATCATTGGAATTCATGTGTTACTTTTGTGATTTAAAAATACATAAAATGGAAAGAAGTAGGTAGATTGTTCATGCTGTTGGTTCTTAGGAAGCAGAGGTGCCAATCATTGTCACGTGACTGTTATATAATCTGCTAATCATTATGTAATAATATCTGAAAAAGATGCTCCTATGATTCCACATCACCAACCAGAAAAATCTTGGGCTTTTAACCCTGTCTAAAAGATGAGAAAAATGCTCTTGTCAGCAAATTTGGGTCTTTTTTTCCTTTAAAAAAATTTATTGATTGATTTTAGAGAGAGAGAGAGAGAGAGAAGATGGAATAGAGATATTTTTTATTTCAGAGAGAGAGAGAGGATGAAATAGAGAATGAGAAACATCAACTCGTTGTTCCATTTAGTTATGCACTCACTGCTTTTTTATTTTTTTTGGATGTGCCCTGACTGGGGATCAAACCCTCAATCTTGGCATACGGGGATGATACTTTGACTAACTGAGCACCCGGCCAGGGCCAGGTATTTTCTGATATGAAATATCATCAAGTCTCAGTGACCAGGGTTTCCTACCGGTAAAGCCTTCTTAAAAATCTGTTTCCCTCCTGTCTGTCACAGAACCAGAGCTGGAAGGGGCTTCTTAGCAGGTACCTGGAGTCCTGCAATAATTTCCAAAGGACTGTTTTGTGTTGTTGCAAAGGCAGAGAGTTTGGGTGGAGCTGGAACTGCTGTAAATACCATCACCTTGCAGGCGATTTAAGAGAGAAGCTTAAACGTGAGCTGAGGCTAAAGCACAATGCACAGAAATGTGTGGTGCTCAGACAGCAACAAACAAATACAGTAATCGCTGCTGTTTGAATAGCAAGTTGCTGGTTCTCCAAATCCTTCCCCATGTAGTGTATCATTGACTCCTGAGACAGACCCACCGGCTTTAGCTGGGGACACCAAGGCCAAGAGAGAGAATCCTCTAATTAAAAACCATCTGTTGGGAACCTCATGATCAGGCTTGTTCGGAGCTTAGGGAAAACATGGATGTACAAGGAGCCCCAGGTCTTGTGGGGGAGTGATGTTTAACAATATGTGTAATCCACCGTGGTGACAGATGAGATAAGATCATGGAAGGCAGTGTTGTGGGGAACCAGAGCAAGGCTAGTCTTTGCCTGGAGAAATCAGAGAAAGCTCCAGAAAGGATGTGAGGGCAGAGTTGGGGCTGGAAGCCAAGAAAGCGAGGAAAGAATGAGGCGAGAGGAAGGACATTTACATGGAAGGAACAGCATATAGAGGCACAGAGGCCAGAAGGGTAGAAGAGCATGGTATGTGCAGGGAGCCGAGAGCATGTTCGAGGAAGAGAACTTGGCATGGGGTGGGCTCTCTTCTTTAAGAAATGTCTGGGATAAGTTGAGAGCGATAGAACATAAGGTTCAGGTGCAGATCTGTTCAACAGTCTTGGGTACGTACTAGGCATTTTGCAAGCAGTAGGGATTCAGTGAGCCGTGAATCACAAAAACTTACTCCTCGTGGTGGGTGGGAGAAAAGACAAACCCATGAAATAGCAAGCCACCAGTATTGATGCCAATGTAGGCCACACAGGTACCACAGGTGCCTGGTGAGAAGTCACAAATCGAGGAAGAGGTAATTTCCTTTTACTTATCCATATTTAAAAAGCAAAATGTATCTAGATCTTTATGCCAACTATTGTAATAATCGGTTTTCATATATGAACGCATCTCACATGACTCCCAGGAGATGGAACTATTATTATTACATTTTGCAGGTGGAAAAACTGAAGCTCAGAGAGGTAAAGTAACCTGCCTAAGGTCACGCAGCTAGTAAGTGACAAAGGCAAAGCTGGGACCTCTCTCTGAACGACAGCCTGTAACAACAGTCCTTTCTGGGCTGGATTCAGTCTCGCGTGATCCTGGCATCTCTTGCTCTCTTTAAGCCTCGGTATTTGCTTCTGTAAAAAGGAGGCGAGGCAGCTGTCAGCTCCTGCTCAGAGGCAGTTCAAGTCCAGGAGGCGGAGCCCGGCGATAGCTCAGTCTGCGCTCCTAGCCGGTAGATTCCACCACCAGCTCCCAACCGGTTCCCATGACAACCGACTAGCTGCCATCCTGGGGCGGACAATGTGCGTCACTTCCTGGCCCGTTTACTTCCGGGTCCTAGCCCCAGCCCGACGGTGGCTTTTTAGTTTCCAAAGTGAAACCCTACGGCTTCTGTGCTTGCTCTTCTGTCTCCCGCTTCTTTCTCCGCCGCCCATGGGTATCGGCCTTTCCCCAGCCCAACGCGCAGCCGCGACCCGGCCTCCCTTTGGACCCGCCTACAGGGAACGTCACTTCCAGGCTGATTGTTTCCGGGTCGCTACTGGCCCTGGGGTACTGGTCTCAAACCCCTGCAGCCGGCCGGAGTGGGGAGAGCCCACCAGGGCCCGGCTCCGGCTGCGGCTGCGGCTGCGGCTGCGGCTGCGGCTTTTTCTCGCTTCCGACGGCCGAGGCGTCCTCGGGGGCAGTGCCGGGGTAAGTGTCGGCGGCCTCGTCGGAAACGGCCTTTGGGGTTTCCCCGGGCGGAGGGGGCGCCCGACTCCGTCAGGCTCGGTGGCCAGGGAGCGGGTCCCCTCGCGGACGGCGGGAGCGACGGGCGGGCCCTCCTTTTCGGCTCCTTGGGGGCGCAGTTTCTCCTCAGGATCCCTTGTCCCCCAAGGGCTGCCTCACAGGCACCTATGACCGACCATGGGTGCCTCGAGAGGAGCATCGCCTCTTTGGCGAGTAACCCAGGAGGAGAATACCCCAATTCCATTGTGAGCGGTTAGGGCGCAGTGGTCCTCAGCCCAGTTTTCGTTGGCTGACCTTACTGTGTGACCTTGGAGAAGTCACTTACTCTTCTGAGCCTTAGTTGCCTAATTCATTAGTAAAATGGGAGTGAACCTGCCTTCTAGGACCGAAGTAGTCATGAAATGAGATCTCTGGCAAACAACAGGCATTCAGTAAATGATAGCCGCTGTCGATTCATTCACAGACTTGTGACCGAGTTTGGGACTAGGGTGTTTTCTTTTGGTTTGTTTTACAACTGACGTGGCCCTCCAAGGTTCTAGGAATTACCAGGCCGGGAATAGCAGCCGCCAGCTTCTATCCCCTGCAGCGAGGGGGAACTGCTTCCTTCCGAGCCCCGCGGAGAGGCCGCTGCCACTAGGGAAGCCCAGGTTCCGCCGAGGTTATTTTCAGAGGTTTGGAAGGTCTTTATGATTTTCTCTGAAATCTGGCTGGGGTTTGGGGACCCTCTGGTGTTTCACAGCCAGGAGGGGTGACTTGGGTGTATCTCCGGAGCCTCGGGAATGAATGAATGCGAAGTAGTGAGGTGCGGAGGTGGAGGGGGTTGAACTGCTCTCCCCTCGCTGTTGTAGGAGGGTGGGGGAAGTCTGAGCCCGCTGAAGCTAGACCAGGGATCGGTAAACCTGTGGACTGGGGCAATGCTGGGACCAAAATAGCCCCTGCCCCAGCAGGGAGGGGGCGCGCCTTCAAATGCAGCTTGGGGAATGTTTCTGCTCCAATGGGCCAGCAGAGGTAAAGCCAAACTAATGCTTTGCTACCCAGAACCATTTCTGTTCTGTTCATTGGAGTTTTAAACAGATGCAGCTTTCCTTTGAGATGTTTACAAATAACAATTAAAAAGCCACCGCCTCCCTGGCTGCAGTATGTCTGTCTCTTCATCGATGTGCTTTTCAAAAGGGGCTTAGATCGTGGGTGCAGGAAGTGCTGACCAGGCCTTTTGGCTCGGGGTACCTGCCTGGCTTCGTGAGGGGTGTTCAAGTGCCTTTTTTCCCCCTTCTTCTTCGCCAGACTGGCACATCTTGGCTTTCCAGCCCTTGGGTTGCCTGGAGAAATTAACAGCTTTTGTCAGTGCGCTGTCAGTGCGCTGTCTGGGCTCCTATAACCATGCTGTTTTTGCAGTGAGCATGTTTTTGGTTCTTTTTGAAGAGTGCTGGGAGTAAATTGCTGTTTCTGTACTCAGCAAAGACACCACCTATGACCAGCTCTAATGCAGCCTGTATGCTCCGAAATTGTATTCAGGACGGATGATGTCAGCCGCTTCACTGCTGGCCAGTCTCTGGCCTTGGCCATTGAGCTTACATCACAGAGCTTTGTGGCTCTGCCAGCCCCAGGGTGTGTGGGAAGAGGGGAGTTTTGCACTACAGGAATTTTTGAAACTCCTCTCTGCTCTCCCTGCCATAGGGTGTTCTAGCTTAGCTGAGTCCTTTTCAGTAGAGCTGTCCAGCAGATGGAGGGGGACAGCTTTGCTTCCAAGCAGTGCAGCTCAGAGCGTGAGTTCAGGTTGTGGCATCAGACGGAGTTTCAGATCTCAGATCCACTTCTTCTTAGCCTTGTGACTTGGGACTAATGACTTGGCCTCTGTAAACCTCGGTTTCCTCTTTAACCTTCGGGCTGTCCTGTGGATCTCCTTGAATTTCGTTTAGCCTCAGCAGAGGGCCTTTATGTACTAATCCTATGGTGAATGCTGCTAATTTTAACAACAAATGAATGTGATAAATGGGACAAAGCACAGGCCTCAGGATCAGCCAACTGAGGTTCAAATTGCAGCTCTGACCCTTTGAAACTCTTCTGGGCTGACAGTTAAGGGCCAAGCTTTGGTTTCCCTGTGGCATTATGGTGTGGATTAAATGGGACGATGCAGTTGAAGCAGAAAGCCCAGTGCTCACCACATAGGTTCTTGATAATTGTTAGTTTCCTTCTCTCCTGTAGCATGTATTTTCTGTCAGCCTTTTCCTCACCTACCTAGGTTGATTTACGAATCTTCTTAGATGGGTTTCCCATCCTTGACTTGAAAGTTAGGATTTTGAACAGCAGCTAGGCTATTTGGATCCCTTTTCCTTGTTGATTGTTTGCCAGCAACAAACAAGGGTGTGGACTGTGGTGTGATTATGGAGCAGCAGACTCTGAGCTGGAGGGTGGCTGATGCTGTTAAAAAAAACAAACAAAAAACATGGCTTCTGTGGGCTTGAGGCTGACCTCCTTGGAGAAAACTCACAGCAGTGTTTAGGAGCCCTGATGGCCTCCATTTAAATTACTCTCAGGTGTACCAGCAAACAGTCCTTGGGGCCACAGGCAGGATGGAAGCTTCTGTTAGGCAAATACAAAGTGGTACATGCATATGGGTAAATGCAAGGGCAAATGATGTCTTCTCAGGTTGTAGTACAGTTTTATTGTTTAAGAGAACAGACATAGTTTGATACTAGACAGTAAATTCTTTCAACTAGACTTGGGGGCAAGGCTATGTTTCCTTGACTGCTGTTCCCTACTGCTCCTAGCGCCCTGTATCCGCCCCCACTGCATCCAGCCCAGAGGCTAGCCTGAGGTAGGTGCTGCGTAGATCTGTGTTGAACTCAGGATCCGTGTTGAACTCAGGATCTGGCAGGTGGTGGGAGGAGCACAGCCTTGAAACCAAAAGCCAGGCTTGGAATCTTGGGTCCACATTGTACTAACCCGGAGCTACTTAGAGCACGCTGGTCATGGGGCCTCTGTTCCTTGTTTGTCCAGCTGATCTCCCAGGATTGGTGGGAGAGCTACAGAAACTAAAGCATCATGGTTGCTTACATCCTTTGCATCATTCATGTCACCTGTTTTACCACACACATGCTAAGTGCCAGGCTCTGTGTTTGGCATCGTGATGAACAAAACAGATGTGGTCCTTGCCTTTGTGGGGCTTACTGGGTAATGGGGGAGACAGAGAGAAGAAGCTAGTGAATGGATACACAAAGTCGGTGATGACCCCAGGCTAACTGGATGAGGAGGGACTGGGCAGGTGGGAGTGAGTCGCTGAGCTGGGGTTGTCAGGGAGGCCTGCTGAGGGATGACATTTGAGCTGAGGTCTGAATGAGGGTGAGCCAGCGATGGGGAGCCTCAGAGGAAGAACATGCAAAAGGAACACATGCTGAGGTCCTGAGATAGAAAAGAACGTCCTGTGCTTGAGGAATGACAGACAGTTCTAGTGGGTGGAACCTGGAGGGAAGGGAAAGACCTAGTGTGAGAGGTGAGCAGGGGTGTGGCCATGTAGAGCCTTTGACCTTGGTCGGGAGAGAGCATTTATTCTAAGTGGATTTATGGTTGTGAGCTCCTCAGGCATATTTGTTCTATTTGTTCCGAAACATTGGGCTTTCTTGGCAGGGCAGTGGGTGGGAGAAGGTGGCCTCTCTGAGTCCCTAGTTCTCCTGCATGTCTCACTCCCCCAAACTGGAGAAGTCAGACAAATGGCTCATGAAGACGTGGACAGTTTTACTGTCCTCATGAGCGTTGCCCAGCTGTGAGCCTCTCGGGCTCCCTGAGCTGAGTGCAGACCTGCCACGCGCTCCACAGGCCCATCCCATCTCGCTGGAGCTTCCTTCTTGGTCCCTTCCGATTTCTCGCTGCCTGCAGGAGCCTCTCCCTCAGACAGCAGGTGTTTCTAAAGCACATACCCTGCTTAGTTTACCTGTGCTTAGGTTACCTGCTAAGTAATTGGGTCACGATCCTGCACCCGTAGAGCTATGGTCAGGAAAGGCAGGACAGGTGAGTGTGAAAATGCATATCGGTCACCCACTGAGAGGTTTGTCCCACTCTGCTCTTACCTTCTTGAGAAAGCCTGGCATCTTGGGGGGTATAGCACCTTTGGACACCCGGAATGGCTGGTTATCGGCCAAGGACTTTTAAGCTGGTGCTCTGTGAAGAGCTTTGTATAATGATTGCATACAGTCCTCCCCCTGGTTCTGGACTCTGTGTACTAATACCAGCCCCCTTTTCAGGTGAGAAAACTGAAGCCCAGAGTTGTTGAGAAATTCGCTGAAGTAACCTAGAGAGGCAGACCCAGGGTTCACACCCAGGAAGCCTGGCTTCGGAACCTATTTGTCACCCCTGTGCCATGTTGCCTGCCCCTGGCCCTGGCAATATCCTTCAATGAATACAGTATTACTGGCCCTGGCTGGGTAGCTCAGTTGGTTAGAGCATCATCCTGATACACCAAGGTTGCAGGTTCAATCCCCAGTCAGGGCATATACAAGAAGCAACCAATTAAAGCATAAATAAGTAGTACAGTAAATCGATATTCCTCTTCCCTTCCCTCTCCCCCGCTCCACTTCCTCTCCCTTCCTCTCTCTTCCTAAAATCAGTAAATTAAAAAAAAATTATTGCTGGATCTGTAAATGTTCTACTTACGGGTGGCCAGGCAGACCGCAAGGGTATATAAATTCCATGTCCCAGCTCAGAACGTTCCATCCTCTCCCCGTGGAACTGTAAACTGCTGTTAAGGCAAAGGGGAATGCAGGCCATCAAAGGCAAGATAGAAGCATCTGCCAGGGGCTAGCAGCCAGCAGCCAGCAGCCAGCATGGTCTCTTTAAAATTGCAAATAAGATCCTGTCCCTCTTCCCCTTGCTTTGAACTCTTCAGGCAGGCGCTTCTTGTGGCTCTTGGAATAAATGTGAAATTCCTCGTCTGCTCTATGCCTGCAGCTCCCCTCCCCTCCTCTCACTGTAGGCTTCTTGCTTTCCATGGCCAAGCTCCTTCCTTCCAGCCTCAGGAAAGTGGGGCGTGGTGGTGGAAGGTGTGGACTTCGGCCCGACCACCAGGGCTCTGATCTCAGCTCTGCTTCTGAGGCGTTGCAACTCTCAGCAAGTATCCTTATGTCCCTTTGTCTCAGTTTCTATGTCCGTAAGATGGGGTGACAGCAGTACCTGTCCCCCTAGGGTCATTTGAGGAGACGGAGAGCGTTAGTAAGCTGTAGTGAGACTGATGGTGTTAGCTCAGGGCCTTTCTCCCTGCCTATGCCTCTGCACGCTCGTCCTTCAGGTCTGTCACTGCCTCAGGAGGGCTCTTAGCACTTCTCCTTCTCCCCACAAAACCAGGTAAGGAGCTGCTAATCATATCTTTCATTTGTGAGCTCAGTTGTGAAGCGTGTAATCCGTGTTTAGTAAAGGCACGAATGAAGAGCAGGATGAAGCCCAGGGCTGGCGGTGCCCACTGAACCCTAGGCCCGTTCTGTGTTTTGTTTTGCCGCAGCAGCCTTTGATACGGAGGAATGACACGCTTCTTATTCTTCCCCTTCCGCAGCAGCGTGCTGGTCCGGCCGGGCAACATGTTAGTGCTTTTAGCCATGGCCCGGCCTCTGACCCAGAGGCCGTGGAGGAGATAAGGTAGCCCCTCGTCTCTGGACCGGATGGGGAAGCCCAGTTCAATGGATACAAAATACAAGGATGACTTATTTCGGAAGTATGTGCAGTTCCACGAAGGCAAAGTGGACGCCGCCCCCAGCAAGCAGCGGCCTGGCAGTGACGAGTACCTGCGGGTGGCCGCATCCACCTTGCTCAGCCTGCACAAGGTGGACCCCCTGTATCGATTCCGGCTGATCCAGTTCTACGAGGTGGTGGAGAGCTCCCTGCGCGCGCTGAGCTCCTCTAGCCTGCGGGCTTTGCACTGCGCCTTCAGTGTGCTGGAAACGGTGGGCGTCAACCTCTTTCTCTACCCGTGGAAGAAGGAGTTCAGAAGCATCAAGGTAAGGTCTAGGGAAGGGCCCTCCACACTGGTCTGCCTTCTGCTTTCTTGCCCTTCCAGGCCGCTTTGAGAGGCCTGTGCCAGTTTGGTCACATCCCTGCTCTGCCTGCAGACCCTCCCAGGTTCCCCCTGTTTGAGACAACAACCACAATTACCCCCATGGCTCCTCATCCTGCCTGTCTGCCTAGTGTCATCTCTTAACGGGTCCCCGCCTCTGGCAGCCCACATCTGCAGCCCGGGGTTTGGAAGGACAGGTGGCACCCGGGCTCTGCAGGGCCTTGAGGTGCAGGGCAGAGAGTGTGGATTTGTCCTAAGTGGGCTGGGAGGCAAGGCCATGCTGGGGCCAGTGTACATTTGCAGCTACCCCTGCTGGCTGGTGTACGGCAGTAGTCTGTACAGGGGCGAGAGGGGGCGGGAGGCCAGTGAGGAGGCTGCCGCAGGGGTCCAGCAGTGAGGGAGAGCAGCGAGGAGGGTGAACCTGGGGGGAAGAGGCGTCCGAATCACTCTGAAGGCAGTGATGGCTCAGGAGGGCTTCCGCCAAGACAGGGTCTTAAGTCTGACAGAGGGTGGGGTAAAGGTAAGTTTACAGTGGTTTGTATGGAAAATAGTACAGTAGTTACTAAAAAAATAAGCATAAGCACTGTTTCACGTGTCTACAACCGTAAAACTGCTTTTGCCCCACCTGTATTCTTCAAGCCTTTGTGGAAATGCCAGAAAGAAATGTCGCTCATGGGGCCTTGCCTCCACCCCAGCCCTCTCTCTTCACCGAGTTTACCCTGCTCCTCCTCACTGGGAGCAGGGCTGCGGTGCCCGGCGCAGGGAGCCAGGGGCTTTGCTCCCTCCACTTACACCGTGTCCCACACACCAGTGCGCTGGGCTGTGGGTAAGCATTAGCCTCTGCCTCCTGTAGTGAGAGGACACTGGGATCCTCCCCTTCCCGTTCTGCGGCTCCCGTGCTCCAGTCCAGACTCGGGTGCGCTGTGCTGTGAGGCAGTCTCCCTGTGTGCGTCTCAGAGAGAAAGCCCCGCCTTTGTCTGCCCCCTTCCTTCTAGACCTACACTGGGCCCTTCGTTTACTACGTTAAGTCCACGTTGCTGGAAGAGGACATCCGAACCATCCTGAGTTACATGGGCTACGTGCCTGACTTGGGGACCGCATACAAGCTCACGGAGTTGGTGGAGACCCTGCAGGTGAAGATGGTCTCCTTTGAACTCTTTCTGGCCAAGGTGGAGTGTGAGCAGATGCTGGAAATCCACTCACAAGTCAAGGACAAGGGCTATTCTGAGCTGGACGTGGTGAGCGAGCGCAAGAGCAGTGCAGAGGACGTGCGGGGCTGCTCAGACGCCCTGCGGCGACGGGCTGAGGGCCGGGATCACCTGCCAGCCTCTGTGGCCCGTGTGGCGCTCCAGAAGTCTGCCAGCGAGCGGGCAGCCAAGGATTACTACAAGCCCCGTGTGACCAAAATCTCGAGGTCGGTGGACGCCTACGACAGCCACTGGGAGAGCCGGAAGCCACCCCTGAAGACCTCATTGAGCCTGCGGAAGGAGCCCGTGGCAACAGATGTGGATGACCTCAAGGACGAGATCATCCGCCCGTCCCCCTCGCTCCTGGCCATGTCCAGCTCCCCTCATGGCAGCCCTGATGACCTTCCATCCATCTCCCCCAGCAATGGCCTTGGCCTGCTGCGCGGCACGTATTTCTCGGCTCAGGATGACGTGGACCTCTACACGGACTCGGAACCTAGGGCCGCATACCGGAGGCAGGATGCCCTGCGGCAGGACGTGTGGCTGCTCAGAAACGATGCCCACCCCCTCTACAAGCGCTCGGCCCCTGCCAAAGAGTCCGCCCTATCCAAGTGCCAAAACTGCGGCCTGTCCTGCAGCTCCTCCCTCTGTCAGCGCTGCGACAGCCTGCTCCCCTGTGCCCCAGCCTCCAAGCCCAGCGCCTTCCCCAGCAAGTCTTCCACGCATGACAGCCTGGCCCACGGGTCGTCTGCGAGGGAGAAGTATGCAGGCCAGACTCAGGGTCTGGACCGGCTGGCGCACTTCCACTCAAAATCCAAGCCCTCCACCACAGCCACCTCCCGCTGTGGCTTCTGTAATCGCCCAGGTGCCACCAACACCTGTACCCAGTGTTCAAAAGTTTCCTGTGACGCTTGCCTCATCGCCTACCATTACGACCCTTGCTGCAAAAAGAGTGAGCTGCACAAGTTCATACCCAACAACCAGCTGAACTACAAGTCCACCCAGTTCTCCCATCTCGTGTATAGATAGACTGGACCTCGCCCCTCCCTGCTCCAAGGGCTACACCACTGATCTTTCTGCTTTCCTGGGGAAGAAGTGTTCATGCGTTGATCTGGGCAGCAGAGATCTGCACTTGACCATGTAGGTGCCAGGGATTTGGGTTGGCGGCACCATGTGGGAGTTGACTTAGTGACTAACATATTTCACCTGATGGCTGCTTTGTCGCCTGACAAGGGAGAGGGTGGCAGTTCCGTTCACATCATTTTTGCTAATCTCTCCACTCCCTTTCTGTTTTTTAAAAGAGGATCTTTATCTCTGGGACTCTTGCCACATCTGCCCCTCCCACTGCAAAGCCAACTTGTGCTGGGAAGGGCCCCCCAGGTCACCTCCAAATGCCCATCTGGGAGGGCGAGCTAGAGGCCTGTTGGCTTGTGAAATGAGCCCTCCTGCCACACTGGGCCTCCTCCAGTGGCTCATCCCTTCTCCTACCCGCCCCCCCACACACACAAGGATCCCCCTGCTCTCTCTGCCCTGACTCCCCACCCTGCCCTAGGTTTCAAAGGGGAACCGAGTCCAGTGTTAGCTGAATGTCACCCCATTGCGATCACAGCTCAGCTGAGCCCGTGCCATTTGTGAACAGGGCTCCTGTGCGTTGGGGTGTGGACCTCCCACAGCAGGACTGGCCCCCATTTCTGTTGTTTGCACATGCTCCTCTTACTGTATTGTAAATAGATATTTTTGAAATTTATTTTTAAATAAATATTCGACTTGCTGTGCGTTTCAAAGTGGTTAAAACATTAATTATGTAGCTATTTATAACCACACCCTGGGTCCTTTAGTCTTCCAAGGCAGGATCTCGTGCCCTTCCATGCTGTGTCCTCCACTCACCCCAGCCCGAAGGTTGAGCGGAGCATGTGGGGGCAGAGCAGGAACAGAGACAGTGTCCCCGAGTTGGTGGAGAGCCACTGTCTTCCCTACAATAAACCTCTACACCTACCTCCAGTGAGCACTACGGGGGTTAGTGCGGGCCGGGAGGTCTGCACACCTGCAGACTGTGATGACCTACTGACAAGTCGGGACCTTGCCTACGGATCTGCGGCCTGGCCTTTGCCACTTGCTGAGTGTGAACTTGCACTCCGAACTTCTTGAGTCTCTCTTCAGAAGGAAACTCGTGTGGGATTCCCATCACCCCTCCGTCTCAGTCACCTTCTCTTCAACTGTTTCTAGGACTCTGCAACATAAGCGATCTTTTTGCACTAAAAGTGGGCGGGAGTCGGCGTGTGCCCGTCAGACACGTCTCCTGAGATTCTCAGCTGAGCCGAAGCGCTTCCAAACCCGAAGGCCCATTAAACTCCTCGTGTGAATGACTGACCCCCGGATTTTCCTTGTGGGGGCCAGAGCAGGAGCGGGGCAAGAGTTTGAAAATAAAACTGCTTCCTTGTGAAATAATATATTCTAGCCATAAGTGTTTGCGATGTACAGAATGTTGTAGGAATTGACCTGCAGTGGGTTTTCTGGTGGAAGGAGGTGTTCAGCTCATGAACAGATTTAAATCCGGCTGAATCCTGAGGCCACTGTGAATTTGCTGGTGTTCTCAGTGGAGTGGTTTTAAGGTTTTTCAAATCTTCTATGGCTTTTTTATATATCTAGTAGATCACACGTAGATATTCAATGTGTATATAAAGCCGAATTTCAACCAGCTTGATTACCAAGACCACCCCATTCTGGCGCATTTTTCTTCAACATCTCTTTCCACGTTTCAGAAGTGTCAATGCCTGGCCCACTCCCGAGAGCTCTAGTTTTCTAGTTCTCCATTTCCAGACCATTCTAGCACTACAGTTACTCTTTTAATCAACCGTGACGCCACGTAACTTACACAGTGGACGAGAACAGGAGAGGAAATGTCGTCCTCGGGGAGAGTCCAGTGTATGTGTGTATCGGCCTGGAAATACTGGGTTCATGGGCGGGAACGGGAAGTGCCCTGACCATGCTCTCTGCAGTGTGATTCACTGTATGAGCTTGCTGTGAGCGAGAGAGTGAAATAGATGCTAATTTAAAAATGCAGATGTTCTGCATTTGATTTCTATCAAGAGTTGAAATGTTGAGAGACAATTTAAAGAAATAATAAAGTGTCTTCCATTATTTAATAAGGTGTTTGGGGTTTTATGTCCCCCTTCCCTGTTGCTTTGAAGTTTGAGTTGCTTGGGTTCTGGGATTTTTTTTTCCCCCTCAAGCCATGTTTAGTTCCTTAATTACACTTTCTTCTCCATGAAACTCACAGGTAGTAAGAGCTGGCATTTGAGTGCTTACTGTGAGCTAGGCACTTTATTTTTTAATTTACTTTTTTTTTTTTAATAGTTTTCTCCTTTTTAAAAAAATACTGATTTTAGAGAGAGGGAGGAAGGGAGAGAGAAAAACACTGATTTGTTCTTCCACTTATTTATGCATTGATTGGTTAATTCTTGTATGTGCCCTGACCGAGGCTTGAACCTGCAACCTTAGAGTATTGGGACAACGATCTAACCAGTTGAGCTACCTGGCCAGGGTGTGAACCGGCACTTTACGATGCATGATCTTGTATAATAGCCTGAACCCTGCTGTAAGGTAAGTACTGCTGTGACCCCCCCATCATACAGACAGGAAGTGGGTGTGCAGAATTCAGCTCTGGTGCCCAGGAGAAATGACTGATGTTGCTAACAGTCATTAAATAGCTTGGAAGGATGATGTGAAAAAATTAATTGTATTTTTAATTCTTTCGATCCATTTAAATGCCTCAGGGAGGAAGTCAGTTTAATGCTAGCTTGTAATTAACAAAGCAAACAGGCGTCAGGCTCAGAGCCTCTGGCAGAATCTCAGCTAAGTTTTCAGTTACCTTCTTTTTGGTATAGGCTGTACTGGTTTTCTATCTACAGCCGTGACAAGAGATTCCTTTAAAAATCTAAAGTGTTTTTAAAAAATAATGGTTGACTCAAAAGCAAAATACATGGCAAAAATCTTAAGGGTGGTGTTAAGAGCAGCTATGGTTTGGGACATCCTGGCTGTACGTGCCTGTGACGCTGACGGCTCCACTGGGTTGGCCCCCTTGGGGTGGCTCAGCTGCTGGGGAAGAGACTGATCAGGTTTCTCCATTTCATGCCCTCTCTGAACAAATAAATACCCAGGCCTTGAGCCAGATCAGGGTCTAGGTGCTGGGTTTGGTTTTAGCTACAGCGTGGAAATGGCACCTGCTGTCCTGGCTGCAGCAGCAGCAGCTACCCTACAGGTGACTGCCGAGCCTGGGAAAGTGAAGGAAGCCAGACACATGCATCCACACCAGAGCGGAGACTTCAGGCAGATTGCTTCATTTGTATATGTAAATGACAAACATTTCAACATCATCGGGCCCACCAGCTGTACAATGTCGGCTCTGCTGCCAGCTCCCAGCACCCATCTGTGGCACCCGATGCTCCTGTACCCATGTCGGGGATGAGAGCTGTGGCAGACGATGCAGATTGACCCCCGATTTCCATTCACCCCTTCTCTTGGTAGTGGGAGATCTGAGTGGTAGACGTATGGCCACCCAGAATAAAAACTGCCTTAAAAATTCACTGATTGATAGAAGCATTGCTGGACAGGATAATGCTTCTTTCTTTTTATTTTCACTTAGAATAATGAGTTGATATCTTAGAATCCCCAAGTGACTAATTTTTAATCATGAACTTGTTGGTTTCAGTGTATTTTACTTGTTCCGGTGTGCATTATTATTGTCTTGGATGCTCAACTTCCCGTCTCTGGCCAGTAGGAGCCTCCTGTTTCCCGAATCCCTCCGACACGGCCCTGAAGTCTGATCGCTTCCTCGGGTTCTGGTGTGTCACGGTGCTTTAGGCTCCTCGGGTAGGTGTCCTGCCCGAGTCCTGGAATCAGATGTTTCTCCAAGTCCTGGGTCTGTTCACGGGGAAATGACATTGGGAGACTGTAGTCTGAACACTTGGGGAGCTGACTGTCGCTGTACTGTTTCTAGGTGTTTTCAGTGGGCAGAGGTAGGAACAGGTTGACGTTTCAGGAAAACAACACACAAGTCCATGCTTATACTTAAACTGAAATTCAGGACCACAGAGTTTCTGTCTTGCTCCCCCACACTGAGCATCCTGGTCCTCGAGGATTCCGGGGAAGCTACTGCTAATTTTGATGTCGCCTCCCATGACTAAAGCTGATCCTGACTGATGTGAGGGCACAGCGGGCCTGCAGTGGCCCTTGGAGAGTGTCGGTTATTCACTGGAGCTGGGGCGGAGGAAGGACGAGGCTCGGGGGCGGGAGGAGCATTTGCTGCGTGTGATGAACTGGTTGCTCGCTGCTCTATTAGGAAATGAAACATCAGGAGAGAAGCCAGCGGGGGATGAAATGTGGTTTAAATGCTGTTCCTCACCTTCCCCTCACCCCCCACCCCAGAGGGGCCTAGGGTCCTGCTGTTGACCTTTCCAGCCCTCCTTCCCACTCTCACTACTCTTGTCCACGCCCCTACGCACCATCGTTTCCCCGCATTGTTCGGCGTGGTCCGGGAGGCACTTCCTGTGCCGTGTCTTCTGCAGCTTCCTGATTTCATCCATGTCGGTATGTCCATTCTGGTCTCATTAATGCGCCCATACAGTCTCACTGCTGTATATATTCCACCGCATCATTGTACCAGCTTATCCGTTCTCCTAGCAACAATCATTTGTTTAGCTCGGATGTATCCAACATCTGGCTGTCACAAGTGTTCTTGTAGGTGTCTCCTGGGGGTAAGAATTTCTCTAAGGCAGGCCAGGGGTGGGTGAAGTTTTTTTGTAAATGACCAGACAGTGAGTATTTTCAGCTTTAGGAGCTAAGAGCCATACCCTCCAAAAGTATGTACTTATATAATGAGAGAAAACAATTTTTCACAGTTTTTTTTTAAAGATTTTATTTATTTATTTATCTTTAGAGGGGAAGGAGAGAGGGAGAGAAACATCAATGTACGGTTGCCTTTCATGCATCCCCTGCTGGGGACTGGCCTGCAACCCAGGCATGTGCCCTGGCTGGGAATGGAACCGCCATCCTCTGGTTCGCAGGCCTGTGCTCAATCCACTGAGCTACACCAGCCAGGGAGATTTTTCACAGTTTTTTAATTAAAAATTCAAGACTTTATTTATGGACAATGAAATTTACATTCCATATAATTTTCATGTCATGAAATACTTTTCTTTTGAAAAATTTTTTTTCCAAGTTTCAACCATTTGAAAATGTTAAAAACCATTCTTAGCCTTCCGGGGGCACAGCAGCAGGAGGGCGGGCCGCCCCGGGCAGCGGCCTGCCATCCTTGCTCTGTGGGGCGTGAGCCCAGGGGATGGCCGGGCGAAGGGGAGCAGGTTACAGGCATCTGTAACTGTCCTTGGCTTTGCCAGCTGCTCTTCCAATTCCTGTTGTCAGCTGGGATTGTCACCAGAGGATGAGACCTCCTGTTGCCCTTTGTATCAATTACATCGAATCTCCCCATTGAATGTGCTGCTCTAGTTCCGGTTTCATTTGTAATCACATTTTGAAAAGTGGTGATAACACACTGTGTGTTCCTTTTATTCCTTTATGGAAGAAATAAAAATATACATAAACAAGATATTTAAAGTTGCCCATAGTCCTTCCACTCAGAACCAAAGTTATAACCTGGCGCCTGTCCTTGCAGATTTCATCCTTAGAGGCATCGGGTTTGTTTTTGTTGTGACAGGAACCCCACCAGAAGTGGCACTGACAGTAATAACACACGTTACCTCACGCAGGGCCATCTGGAGGGGGTCAGTTCCAAGGCTGCTGAACTCGCTGGCCCAGCTGTGTCACCAAAAACTCACGGGGCCTTCTGTCTTTCCCCTCCGCCACCCTCGGCGTGCCGAGAGGTCTTCCCTCGAGGTCTCCAGCCGGCAGAGAGGCAGGCCCAGGCTCACGTCATCCGTCACATTATGGGAGGCAGAGGCCAGCCAGTGGAAAGAGGCTGTTTCCCTTCCTTGAATGTCTGTGTGACAGTGAGGGAGCACTTCCAGAAATTCCCTAAGATGTTGCTTCATTCTGCTGCCAGAATTGGGTCAAAGGCCTACCCTCCACCATTCCCAGGCGAGGGGGAGGGGCAGGACCAGGACAGCTTGGGCTGGGAACGGCCCACTTTCCCCTTGATGCATGTGGTCACCCATTATCCCCCCAAATGGGTTTTCTTAGCCAGGACGACAGGGCCCAGGGTAGAGAATGGTGGTTGGGTGGCAGCGTACAGGTCTGCCAAGAGCAGGGACTAATGGGTATTTGAGGAGTCCTATCTGAACTTTAAAGAAATACAAGATTTCTACTACTCTGATTCGTTTTTAGTCATTTTAGCATCTCAAACATTTAAGGAGAGGATGAAATTTTTCTCTCTCTAAAGATGGTAAGATGCAGCCTAACACTGTAAACATCTCCATACCCTAAATCTTTAATCGCTGGTATTTTATTATTTTCCCCACCAATTCGCTATCGATGGGCTCTTTTCAGCTTTTCCTCACTGTAGGTGTTGCCAAGGTGACTGCCCTTGGGGCGGAGCTCCGTGTGCACCTGTTCGCTCTGAAGGGAAATGCTGCGACAAGGCACAGGACGTTTCAGGCTTTTGAAAGGTGTCCCCTCGTTGTCCTCCAAAAAGGTCTAACCAGCCAGCCCTCCATCAGCAAGTAGTTTACTTTGCCACAGCATAAACCAGCTACATTTTTGTGGACTTTTTTTTTTTTTTTTGCGAAGCAAAGATCTATTTTCTTCCCCATTTGTATCAGGGAAATCAGTCTTCCTTCTTCTGTCATGTGTCCAGTGGGGTCCCCAAAACCCCACTCCACTGGTGTGAGAAATGGCAGGAACTAAAAGGAGGGCGTGTGGCTGCTCTTCCCTTCACACCTGCACTCTGACCATATTGTTCTTATTTTAAATACATGGCCTGGGGCCCCAGCTCGCGTGGCTCGGTTGAGCAGCATCCTGCAAAGTGAAAGGTTGCTGGTTCAATTCTGTCTGGGTCAGGGCGCATACAAGAGACAACCAATCAGTGTTTTTCTCCCTTTCTCCTTCCTTTCCCCTCTCTCTAAAAATAAATAAAACATTAAATAAAACATATGGCCTGGGGCCTTGAGGAACGACTTAATGAGTCTGGCCGCTGTATCCACAATGTTTCACATTCAATTTCCTACTTACCACAGGCCTCCATTCTGGAGGGAGTCGGGTGGGGCGAGGGGACTGCTCCCCTTTCCTGCCTTTAAAGTTCTAGTCCGTGGCAGAGCACTGCTGCTGAGACTCCTCCTCGTGCTTGAATCGGGCCAGTCCTAAGACTGGCATCCCATCCCTGCCTATAACTTGATGGCCATGGCCTGCTAAGGAGAAGCTGGCCACCCCTGTCCACCCTGGCTGTCCCCACCAAAGCAGAAGTAGGATCCTGTCTGCGGCCACCCTGCTGAGGACCCTGCCAGATGTGTGGGCCTCTGGGAATGTGGACCCAAGACCACGAGAGGCCACGTCTTGCTGATGGCACTGCTGCTGTGGGTCCAGAGAAGGGTCCCCACTCACACAAAGGCATCTGCAGGCAAACCACGGCCTGTCTTGGGGGACTGAGGGTGCTGAGGCCCTGCCCCCGGGCCTCACAGCAGCCAGGGCTTGGCCAGCATGCCCACTGTGAAGAGGTGGCCGGCTTGGGGGTGGGGCCGTTTCTGTGTTGCCTCTGGGCTGAGCATCTGAGCACCACCAGACTGTGGCACTGAGCCACCTCCTGCCTGGCCAGCCCAAACGTGATCTCTGCAGACCTAGGAAGAGCCAGCTCCTTTCCCTGGGAGGCCTCACACCCTGAGCCTCAGGGTTCCCAGGGGCCCTGCAACGACAGGGCTGCAGAGGGGACGCCAGGGGTGGGTCCTGCTGCTGGGCGTCCCGCTCCCCGGGCCAGGCACACGTGCCCAGTTCACTGGCTGAACTGCCGGTTTCCCCAGGGGTGCTAGCTTCACACTCTAGTCCTTTCTCTACATGCTGTGTGTAGCTCTGCTGTCCCCTTGCCCAGACCTCAAAGGGTTATAAGTATTCGAGAAGTTAGTTATGCTGGCTCTAAAAAAATCTTATAGGCATATATTACCTCAAATAATAGAATTATTAGATATGCTAAAGGCAGACAGCAGGAAGTTTTGATTCTCAGGCAGACTTTAGAAAAAATACATCAGAAAAATATATCTTTGTAGAGTTTTGCCTGCTCCAAAGGTTTCTAGCCAGACAGACAGACGACTGAAGCAACAAGGATCACTCCCGTTTCTGTGGAAATGCTCTTCTGGGCTGGGCCCTCACTCGACCAGCAGGGGGCAGAAGAGGACCGAAGGAGACCCAGGCCAGTGCTGGTACCTGCTGGGGAGGTGCCCCCAGCCCCACAGCCCAACCTTGAGGCCTTCCACCAAGCCCCCCACATGCTTCTCTACCAGTGTCATTTTCAGGTCTCAGCTAAAAGTGGCAGGCCAGACAGGACCTGGTGACAGGGGCCGGTCTGAATTGAAAAGAACCTGTTTTTACTGCTCATTCTCTGAACTCCAAAAAAATGCTTGTTTTTTTCTGGCAAACTATTGAGTTTACAATGCAGCTTCCACCTCCGAGATCAGATCCTGAGTTTTAGGGGAGAAAGTAAACTACTTGTGAGTTGGGGGTGAGAGAAACAGTCTGGTCTCAGACCCTGGCCCACCCCCCACCTCATGAGGACACAGGACCCCCCTCTTGCTTTTCCACTAAAAGGAAACAGGAAATGATGAGACCAGAGTTATGCCCACATCAATCCTCCAGTGGGGTATCGGGTGGAGTAAAAGAATCCTGTTTGCCTCAAATTATGGGGTTAAGAAGAGATTACATAAACAAAAACGATCATATTTTAGCTCTATCAAGTACAAACTTTTCATGCACAAAAAGGAAACCACGTGCTTCCTGCCGGACTGGCCTTACATTTCCAGGGAAAGGGAGGGGGTTGGGGGAGGGGCCTGGCTTCGTGGGCTGGACGCATGAGTCCTCAAAGGGTCCCGAGATCAGTCTTTCCTGACTCCCAGAGCCACGCTGCCTGAGGCAAAAGAGATGGACGTGTACTTGTGGCCAGCCCAGGGTCTGAGCTGGCCCCTGGGTCCCCACAGAGAGCCAAGGGTGTGCACACAGTGAATGAAACCACCCAGAGGGTGACACGTCCCAGCTCCAGCTGGCACCCTGAGCCACACGAGGTAATTGCCAACAGCCTGGAGATGGGCAAAGGCAAGCAAACAAGGCTTTTTACAGGGCAGGTGAGGAGCGGGTGTGAGAGTCGGCAACTCCATTTCACCTGGACATGACTGGCCGCTCGGAACCCTGCATGGGAGGGAGAGAGAGCAAGCACTTGGTAAAGGGACTGGGTCCTGGGGTCGCAGTGGCTGCCTGGGGACTACAGGTGAGGATCAGATGCACTGGCTGGAGTGTGGGGAGAGGCAGCAGACTCTGGACCCAGCTCCATGTGTGGGTGAGCTGGGACCCCTGCATGGGTGACAAGTGGCACCCAAGAGTAGAGAATTGGGAGAGGGAGGAAATGTCGATTAGCAGTGAAGGTGGCCGCAGGTAAGCGGTGGGCAGGCTCCACGCAGCCCAGGAAAAGGGGCCTCTGGACAAACAAGGACTCCTAACAGAGGGAATCAAGGTGAGGAAGGCAACCGCTGGGCTTGCACCACTTGGTTCAAGTGCATGAATTTCAAGGAAATCAGGCAGTGGCTGCTGGCCCACATAAGCCCCGACCTCTAGCTCTTTCCTCTAGGGGGCAGTCTGACCCCACAGAAAAGGCACTCCCCCAGCCCCAGCCCCAGCCCCAGCCCCAGCCCCAGCCCCAGCCCCAGCCCCAGCCCCAGCCCCAGCCCCAGCCCCAGCAGCTTCCACAGGGGCTCAGGGGAAGGGCCTGCGCAGGTGTGCTGGTTACCAGTGTAAACATTCACAGTATTCCCAGAGAAGGCGGTGGCTGCCTGCCACCCAGGGGGACAGCCTGTGAGGTGCCAGCCAGAGGTACAGCAGAAAAAGGTCACTCGGTTTTTCTTTCTCGGGGTGTACAAGGAACATCACCAAGGGGAGTGTGAGGTTTTCAAGGTTTCTGGGCCTGCCACTTGGGTCAGACTTGCTGCCGTCGAGGCCCCAGGTGCCTTGATGATGAGGAGGCAAGTGGCAGCTGGCTCCTCGCCCAGCTGGCTCCTGGGGTCTCGGTGGTGGCAGCAGCTGGGCATGGTGGACTGCAAACCAGCGCCCAAGGACACCCAGTCAGGGCAGCTTCCACAGCAGGGCTCCTCCTCTCGGGGCCTCAGCTGGACATATGACTGTTTGCCTCGGCTACAGAAGCAAAAGGAGACTTCTACCTAGACAGGTGTTCCCTCTGACCTGCAAGCTGGGAGCCACGCTGCAAGCAGAGGTCCAGCTCGGTGAGGAGAAGAGCGATGGCGTTTCAGAAGCCAGCTGGCTCTGCAGGCCTGCACGGTCCGGGTGACGAGCACCTTGGCTGCCTCAGGCTCTCATCTTCCCTGAAGGGGCCGCCAAATGCAGGTGCCCTGCTGCCCTTGCTGAGTGTCCATCCTGGGGGCCAGGCAGAGGTGCTGCTCCGTCACAGCAGCTCCTGCTCGTCGTCCTCGGAGCCAGAGGGGCCCTGGCGCACCTCTTCGTACCACTTGTTGGTGAGGGTTTTCATCTGTATGCGCCCATGGTGGAGGTCCTGAGGCAGGAGACACAACCAAGCCAGTGGGTCAGGGTCAGGGTCAGGGTAGAGGAAGAAGAGGAGCTGCTTTGTACCTTGTGGGGGGATGGGAGGCAGGGACCATGGCCCCACACAGTTTCAAAGCATGAACTAAGCCAGCTGGGATTCTTCTTTGTGGGGGTGGAGGTAACAGGTGTCACTCAGAACCAGGAGGAGTGGGAGACAGGGTGGCAGGGTGTTCCGAACTGTGGCTCTGGAACCAGACACTCCTGGGCTCTCCTCTCGGCTTTGCCTCATACTGGCTGTGTGACCTCAGGGGGCTATCTTACCTCTCTGGGCCACGGCCTCCCCAGCTGTCAAGTGAGAGAACAGCCACCTCTACTGGGATTGTTGGGAGGACGAACCAGAGCAACTGTGAACGCCATGTGGTGTGGCTGGTAGTGGGAGCTCACACACCGCACCGGGACTGCCGCCAGTGGGAAATGGGGGCGGCAGCCAGAAGAACCCCAGCCCACCCCGAGGCCTGCAGAGGGCAGGGTGACTGGTTTGCAAAGCAGGCCCAAGCCGGGCCCCGAGACTGCCTCCCACCCGGTCAGTCTCTCAGAGGCCAGTGGTGCCCGGAATGATGGAACGGGTGCCTGAACTCGGGCCCCTGCCTGTGGCCCTGGCGGGTCTGAAATTCCTCAGCACAGATTCAGTAGCCAATCAATGTTCCGAGTCTATCATCCAGGAAAAGCAAACTGTGCTAACAAGTCTATTATTAAACTAGCACTAAATCCGGCAGCAAAGGAAAAACAGCAGATGCGATCCCGGGAAGGAGAGCCAAGCGGGAGGGGGTGGCCTGGCCTCCCCTCCCCAACACAGCTTGTGAGCCTCGCCTCCCCGTCCCCCTTGGCCAGTGCTGGTTCTGAGGGAGGAAGGCAAGGGACCCTCAGCCATGTGGCGCTGGCCTGTGTCCCACCTCCTGGGTCAGCCGACGTGTGAAGAAGGGGTTCAGGTACTTGGCGTCCAGCCACAGGAAGCCTTTGAGGTCCTGCCGCCTGACGTAGTGGGCTTCGTACTCCTCCTCCGTGAGCTCCGACAGGTGCTCCGACTCCACGGTGTTGCCCTGCGGGGAGGCAGCGAGTGCGGGCCGGCAGATGGGACGGCATCTTCCTGGCAGCCTGCGCCACCCTAGCAGCCCTTCACCCCTGGCCACCCGTGTCCCCAGCCCCGCCTGCACTTCCGAGTCCATGCAGTGTGTCTGTGGGCAGCATGGGGCTTGCTGGGAGCCTGCAGGGAGGCAGGAAGGTTTGTAAAAACATGACAGATACCCAGGAATAAACCAGAACTGGGAATAAATCAGAAGTTCTGGGCTGGCGCTGGGCTTGGTCTGTAAGCTTCCAGGAGACTTCCAGGTGTGGGTCCGTGCTGGGGAGAGAAGGCACACAGACCATCCCAGCAGGAACCACGGGGGAATGACAGTGCCTGCACGGGGCACAGCAGGCCTGGACGGCGAGTGGGCCTCACTAACTGGACCAGCTCGGCCCAGCCCCGGCCTCTGCAGGCGGCCGCACGGCCTGAACGCTGGTGCGCTGCTCTGCTGCGCAAGTTGCGCCACAGCCACAGCCTGCTGGCCGGGCCTGTGCTGATTCACAGGGCCTGTGAGCCCCCGGAACGCTGGGCCCACTCGCAGAGTCCCTGATTCAGGGCTTCTGGGACGGGGCCCAAGTGTATGCGTTCCTAACAAGTTCCTCATGACGCTGCTGGCCCAGGAGCCCACCCTGGGGACCCCGGTGGACCGTGAAGAGAGAAGGCTCTGGACTCTGTGTGACCTTGGCTCTGTGACGGGGCCTCTCTGTGCCTCGGTGCTCTCACCTGCGTGAGGGGCGTGACAAGAGCCTCTGCTTCCTGCAGGTCATCAGGTGACCTGCCACAGTCCGAGGAGACAAGCACTGTGCCTGCGCCACAGGACACTCCCTGAACGGCATGTGCTTCCTTGGAGCAAACATCCTGCCTCTACTAGAGCCTGGGGGTGGGGGCGGGTGGGTGGTTCCAGTGGTGTTGGTTCACCGAGTGTGGTTGCAGGACCTGCACCGGGCAACCTGTTAGGTGTGCACATTCTTTCCAGCCCCACCCCAGACCTATAGGGCTCTGCAGACCTGCCTGGATTCTGACACCCACTGACCGGTTTCGGACCTACACTCGAGCTTTCGGTGAGATGGAGGTGGGTGGGTGGGGGTGGGGGAAGGGCCGCTGAGAGAGAGAGAGAGAGAGAGAGAGAGAGGCAGCCAGACACCACGTCCTCTGAAGGTTTCTTTCCAGCAGCACAGCCAGACCCGGGCTTCCCACATGAGAAGTGGGCGGTACATCCCTGTGCCCTGTCTCCTGGCAGAGGATTTCTGTGCCATCCGTGACCAAAGTTACTGAGGCAACTAGAAAAAGATGCATTTATGGAAATTCATGTGTGGGGGGCAGTGGGGGAGCTGGTGCAGAAAGGCGGAGAGGCCTGGGTGGCTCTGGCTCCTGTCGGAGAGCCTGGCTTGGCACATGGGGCCTGAGGGGGGCACACAGGGCAGGGAAGCAGGGAAGGCACAACTACGGCTGCCTTGGGAGGGGCGGCCCGCCGGCAGGAGCGGCTGCCGGCAAGAGGGTGGCAGGGGTGCGGGGCCCCAGTGGGCACCCCAGTCCCCAGTTAGGCCCTTGACAGGCTTCAGTACAGGGCACCTCTAACGGCCCCCAAAGCCTCCTTCCCCACTCAGGCCCCAGCAGGACGCTGTCGTGAGCACTGGGGATGAGGTGGTGTCGAAACCATCCGGTGTCAGGCCCTGACGTGGCGGACGGTTACTGGCAGGGGAGGAGCATTACTGGGAGAGTCTGACACTGGCCCATGCTCCCCGTCCACAACCTCGTGGCTTCACCAGACCACAGGGCTGACAGACAAGCCACCCAAAGAGCTATGCTTCAGAACCTTGTCTGGTTGGGCGGCTACACCTGTGTGTGCGTCTGTGTGTGCGTGAAGGTGCCGAGCATCCTCAAATTGTGTCTCACGTCCCCATTTCCTGGCAGTCGGTGGGGAACAGCCCTCTGCCCCACCCCGCCCAGGGCCCACCGAGCACTAACCATCTTCTCTGTCTTGCTGAGGTTGACGTCCTTCCTGTTCCGGCGACGCGCCTTGGCGTCCTCGATGTCCATGAGGCGGATGAGGGGCATGGTGCTGCCGCCCAGCAGCAGGATGGTGAAGAGCACGATGACGATCGTGGTGGTGCCGATGAGCTGCCGCTTCTCCATGGGTTCCAGGTCCAGGTGCAGGCTCAGGGCGTAGGGGATGGCACCCCGCAGGCCTGGGGGGACAGTGAAGGGCGTGAGAGGAGAGGGCAGCGGCACCCTGACCCGGTTCTCTGGGGAGAGCGCAGCATCATGGCCAGCCGAACATCCTACCCACCGCGCTGGAGAGCACGAACATCCGTGAGGCTCTGGGGTGGGAGAAAAGCAGGCTGCAGAGAGGTGGGGCCCGGGGGAAGCCTCCCTTCATTCCCACTTCACAGCCTAGTTGGGCAGATCAAGTGAGCTGCTCTGTGCCGGCCGTGAAGTGCAGCACGCACACGCACACGTATTTATCCAGCCCAATGCTCACGTTTAGAAACACGAGGGCCAGTGCATGCAGACCAGGTCTTCCCTGTGCGTGTGCCGGCCCTGTGCCGAGTGCTCTGTGCACGCAGCCTCGTTTGCTCTTCACAGGAAACTGTAAAGCAGGTCCTGTTACTCCCCACAATCCACTCACGAGACTGAGACTACGTCCTCCCAGGGCCTCCCAGCCTGGACAACAACACAGACAGCGCCCCCTGCTGTGCAGCTCCTGGCAGCACCGACAGGCTTGGGGCCCAGAGTGACTTCTGGCTCAAGAGGCACACTCATTTCCAAGGGGCGCTGACCACATGTGCCCTCTACACGGTGTGCGCCTCTGCAAGAGGCATCTTCCCTCCACATGATTCATTCAAGGCTGGACTCACCACTGAACCACATGATGAACATCATCTTCGGGGTGATTTTATGATCACGGAAGAAATTCAGAAGGTAGGAGAGAGGGAAAATGTTCACCGCTCTGCCGAACAGCACAAGCACCTGTTAACAGCGACAAACACGTCTTAGACGGAAATCTCTGGTGCTTCGAGTTGAAGCTCGTTGCGGCTCACACAGGCCTTGTGGTACACCCACTCCAAGTAGTGCGCGCCCCTCGGTTATAACAGGCGCAAATGACAACACCGCACTACTCAGAAACCTGGCTGGGTGGGTTGTCCCTCTTGTCTGGTTTCTGCATGTCCGGGAAAAGGTGAAGTTTGTACACTGCATCTCAGCAGTCAGAAGGAGAGGACCAACAACGTGTCCGCGCTGGCGTCACTGGTGACAGAACAGAACTGAACGTGGCCAAGAAGCCAAGCAGACGCACCCAGGTTAGTTTGAGGGCAGTCTAACTCCCCCACAGGCGCTGCGCCAGGCCACGTGGCTGTGCTCGTCCTCCCGAAGGGCTAGTTCTGCAAGGACGGACGGGGTGGTGCTGCTTCTCCAGCGGACCTGCTTCTCGGGGAAGGAGGGAAGGCTGGGAAGGGCCGGCCCATGCTCATGAACGCTGCTCCCTGAGCCAAAGGAACATGTCGGCTGGTTCTAAAAGGAGGTCGCACAACCCAGCCAGCTGCTTGCCACGGCTTTTGGTTGCTGACCATCTCCAAAAGCATGTTTGTTTTGATAAAACACAGCTTTATGTAGTTTAAATCTTCTCTAAGTGGGCACTTAGATCTACTTATTAATTACTTCCATTTTTTCAGTCTCGAAAGGGAGAATATACACAAGGACATAACATAGGCTCTAAGTTCCTCCTTCCAACCAGCAGGAACTGAGTGTGCTGTGCAGCGGGGGTGCCTTGGATGGTCAAGTTGATAATGGCTCCTAGTCATCTGACATTTATATGCCAGACAATGCGCTCAGCATTTTCTACGTGTTATCATGTTAAATTTAGACCCCTGCAATGGCCTTCCGGAGTAGGTGGCACTGTCTCCATTTCAGGAACAAGAAAAGGGAGACACAGGGGGGTTAAGCAGCTGGCCCGAATCTAGTCCCCACTCTAGGCCCCCTCCCTCCTCCCTCTCCTCCCAGCCCACAGCCAACACGGCCGGCACCCAGATTTCCGTTCCCACACTCATGTTGCAGTTCAACCCAAAGTGGCCCCTAGTGCCCAGTGCCCACCCTAGAGACTCATACTTTCTGAAAAGCCTTGCTGCTGTCCTCTTGTCCTGAAACCCGAATTTGGAGGACACCAGTGACAAAAGCCACGTGCTCCTGCTGATCGAGGGGTGAAAGACCCCAGGGGGCCAGGAGAAGCATCTTTTTCCTGAGGGCTCCTCATCCCCTCTGTGTCTCGGGTCCCCGCACGCCAGACGGGCAGGCCTCCGGGCGTGCCCCCCGCAGACGACTGTGCACAGCAACAGTCCGCCTCCCGAGAGCTGTGCCCAGGACGTGGGGCTGGCAGTAACAGTTAACTGCAGGTGAATTGCGATAATTCAACAGTAGTAAAGTAGACTTCTTACACGCCTTATTACCATAGGATCTAAAAAGGCGACAGGGACCAAGTCGGGGATAGAGGATGGATCCGCAGGAGGGCCCACGGAGATGCAGAACACGGGCAGGCGACCGGGGCACACCACGCTCAACGCCAACCGGTCAGGAGCCACTCATGTCACTCTGATCGGGTGCCTGGGGGAGCTGGGCCTTTCTCTCAGATGCCAAACTGTTCTTTTCCCCACAAGGATCTGCTTCTGCTGCAAATGATTAAGCTTCTACTTTCCTTTTTTAGAGGCGCATTTTAATTTGTCTCCTCTGCCACCCCCAGTGCAATCAGAACAGTTTCCTGAGCCTTCCTGGTGGTGAGCGGCACCTGGGATGAGTCCCCTGGGTGGTGCTCCAGGGGCGCAAGTGAGGAGCTGGTATCTTTACTTGAAACAAGTGTCCAAGGTCATGCTTCTGCGTGGACACGTCTGGGGGAGCCAGAGTAGGAAATACATGCCTTACAAGCTACCCGGAAAACACAGAAAAGAAAAAGCAACGTCCCCAGTTCTATAAGCACTGGGAACACTTGGCTAAATTTTCTTTACATATTTTCTTTTTTCTATGCATAATGATTTTACATGGTTATGCTCAAATCCATATTCAATTCTGAAATCTGCTTTTACCACCTATCATAAAAATTCATAAGCTTGTACTTTTAAATAAAGAAGCCCATAATATTCAAGACCATTTAAAATTTTAAAAGAAACTAAATTCCTTTTCTGCGGATATTCATTCATTAAGTTCCATCCCTTTACTGTATGTTTATGATTTTTTAACAAAAGAAACTTTAAACAAAAGCATGTCTATGTAGCTGTTGACTTCGAAGAGTTAACAGTTACATGAATGAATCCAGAACGGGTGGTTACTGAGCTGTGAATAAATAATTAAATAAAAACGAGGAAAATACTTACTATGCACCAGACGACAAAGGAAATTTCAAACTTGTGAGGGAAACTAAAAATGGACAGGCCAAGAAACGCAAACACACATGTTTCTGAAACAAACCAAAGAATGGATTATTCAGTCCCGACTATTTCTTCCGAGACTTAACAAATTGTTAAACAAGCGTTCACACGTTAGTCAGAACCCAGTGTAACTCTGGGCTTGTTTTCTGGGACATCCTGCAATTGCTACCTAGTGAAGCTTGTCCTACAATTCTCTCTTTCTCTGTCACCCAAGTGACATGTGCTTGCTACTCAGAATCTCCTGATTTAATGAGGCAACTGTCAAGTACTCTTGCAAATTAGCACTCAGTCCACTTGCTGAACACTGATTAGCAAGGATCCCAGCAGCTGGCAAAGTGGCAAGAAGTCAGAGCCGAAGGCTGCAGGGGCCACGTGACCAGTGTGTCAGGGCCCTTTACTATCTTCTTGGCCAGAGTGGACCAAGCCACATGCTGGACCTCACATACTTAACGCCACTGCAGGTTTAGGAGACGGCTCACCCTGCAGGGTTTGCAGGGAGAGACACATTTCTGGCCCCTGGCTTCACTCGACAAGCCCGAGTCCAACATGTACACATGTTGTACAAGCAGTGGGGGTGTATCTTAAAGAAAAGCACTTTGCCCATGTCCAGCACTGGGTCCCTGCTTAAACTGCGATGCCCCCAGACAGCCTCGTAACCAGGGAGAAAAGGCCATTTTTAAATAGCTGAACATCATAATACGGTGAGGCTGCTTTAAAAGCATTTCGGCCCTGTTTTTTCCCTCAGATGTGTATACTTTTAGAGCAAGTCACAAGCTGGACAGTAGACCCACCCCTCTCCTCCTTGAATTTTCTTCTGATCCATTAAATATTTTTTGTGATCTTTCCAAATAGGCTCATTTAGAACACACTGAGATCTATGTTATGCTTTTCTTTGGCAGCATAACACTCGTGTAGGCAAAAGTAGATTTACGCAAAGCAGTTTATTCTTGTATTGTCATCATTTATTATTGTGTTAGTTTCCATATGAACAGCTGTACACTCACCTTTGCCCCACCCCATTTGGGAATTTAATGGTTAATTTAATGAATCCTTTGTCGTTGCTTATTTCAACTGTTTCTACTTCTAATATTACAAACAACAATAAACGTAATTCTGCACAGGCCACATTCCTGGTGGTAGAACGGTGGGTCAAAGGGCATGAGCCTTGTAAACTCAGACATGCCCAAATTCAGACTCTCCAGAGCTGGCGTCAGCAGACACGCCATCACCAGGCCTGTTTTCCACACACCTGTGCCGGAAGTGGGTGTTATCAAACCTAAAATGCACTAATCTCTTGGGTACCAAACAGAACTGGAGGGACGTTTTGCCTTACACCCTTTACGCGTGAGAGCCAGGGTCAGAGACTGGACCGAAGAGACAGACCTGGCTTTAGAGTCACTTCTGAGCCCTGTGACTGTGGGCAAGTCATCTGACATGTGAGTGTCCTTGCCCAGGGAATGACGGCTGCATGGCCTGCCCCTGCCTCCTCGCACACGACAGCGTGGAATTCAGCTTCCAAGTGAGACGAGCCAAGCCGAAGTACCGGGGTAGACGCTGATGGCGGTGGCTAGGGCACGAACACTTGGCACCAGTGCAAAGGGACAGTGTGCGTGGTTCCTTCACCCCCAGGCATAAGCTGAGGAGGAGGCACGTGTGGGGGGTGGGGGGTGGGGCGGGGGGCAGCATCCACTGTCGTGTACCCCAGCTCAACAGCGATGCCTCCCCAAGTTGTCTTTCACGGGTCCTATGGATAAGTGTGGGAAGTGCTGTAACCGCATTTCTCTCTCAGAAATTCACAATGCACGCTAGCTGGAAAGTCTTGCAGTTTGGGAACTTCTTAAACTTTACTTACCCCAAGACTTCCCAAACTCCCAGTTTTGACTGTGGAGTCTTTATTCCCCTAACTCTCATCAATATCAGTTCCAAAGGAAAACGTTTTTGGAAATTTCACTTTAACACATTAAAATGCATGAGTCTCAAATGTGCATAATTAGTAGTTCTTATTATTTTTGGTTTTAAAATTGCAGGCATCAAATGTTCTACTCGTTAGGCATTAGGTTTACGTTATGGAATTCAAAAGCCAGAGTAACGACCAAAAGATAAGGGGGCGTGTTTTCTGGCTCTGGGGATCCTGCTGCCTCTTCTGCCGGGAAAACCCTTGGCCCTAGAGCAGGGTGAGATGGACGAGCAGCTCCGGGCAGGCCCGCGCCAGAGCGCAGAGCAGCGGAACTCACCGCACAGGAAGGCCACGGTCCGCAGGGTCTGCTGCATGAGGATCTGGGTGACCGGGGACAGGTTATGGTGTGTGTAGTGGGACATCACGATGCCGGAGAACAGGATGGCCATGATGCCTGGAGAGGGACAGGGGGCCGAGTGAATAGAGCAGAAAAGCACCCACCCTGTGACCCACAAACAGTACGTCCCACTTCCTGCAAGTCCCTGGAGCCTGCCGTGTTAGGTGTTTTAAGAAAAAAGGACAGAAGAAAGTACTACCTCCTCCATCCCGGAAAAGGAAAGAGCAGAGAACTTGCTGTTTTCTGCTCCCAGAGGCCTCCCAGAGGCTGCAGAGAAATGCCACGGGCCCTTCTGTCTGTCAGCTTCATCACCGGCTGGCAGACCTCGGGCAGAGATCTCCCTGGCCCCCCACCATGCCTGTTTTCGTTTTAAAAGATTTTATTTATTTTTAGAGTGGGGAAGGAGAGTGAAAGAGAAGGAAAGAAACATCAGTGTGTGAGAGAAATGTGGATTGGCTGCCTTGTCCCCAACTGGGCACCTGGCCCCGCAACCCAGGCCTGTGCCCTGACTGGAATCGAACCAGTGACCTTTTGGCGCACAGGCCGGTGCTCAGTCCACTGAGCCACACCAGCCAGGGCCAGGGCAGGGGTGGCAAAAGCTCCAGTTTTCTCATCGGGACAGTAGGAACAGGAGCACCCACTCATGAACCGTTAGGGGAGCAGTGAGGACCAGCCATGCGGAGGGCCCACCACAGGGCAGGCGAGGGCCGTCACTGCCATCCACGGACCGAAGGAGGGACGGAAGGAGAGGGTAAGAATCTGGGTAGATTTTAATTTATTTTTTAATACTTTCCTTAATTTTGAGTTCCCCTATAATCACCATGAACTACTCTTACAATGTAGACAGATGCGTTACAACACAGTGTCTTTCCCATAAAGCCCTCCATCAGAGCCTGCAACTTCTGTTGTTCACTAACACTTAAATTTTTATTTATTCATTTATTTTAAAAGATTTTATTTCTTTTTACAGAGAAGGGAAGGGAAGGGAAAGAGAAAGAGAGGGAGGGAAACATCAATGTGTGGTTGCCTCTCACATGCCCCCTACTGGGGACCTGGCCTGAAACCCAGGCATGTGCCCTGACTGGGAATCAAACCTGTGACCCTTTGGTTCACAGGCCAGCGCTCAATCCACTGAGCCACGCCAGCCGGGGCTCGTTTACCAACGTTTTAAGTCTTCACGTTGGGCCGCTGCCCCCATCATGGCTGAAGCACTTTACGCAGGTCTCCTCTCAGCATCTCCCTGTCTAGGGTTCTCTATTTTAGGTAAGGAAGCTGGCATTTTCATAAAGTTGCTAAATAAGCAAATATATACAAACTGCAAGTCAGACTTTATAAACAAAATTCTTACTCCTGTTGTTTTGCAGAAACATGAATTAATCGTGAACTTTACATTCTGAAAGGGTGAATGAACTGTCATAGAACCGCATCACAGACATTTCGATGGCTGAGCTTCCTGTACACACAATCCCCCACAAGACAGAGGAAGACCCTACTCTCTGGCCCAACGGGCACGTGCTGGCCCGAGTGACGGCAGAGGCCGGAACATTTCATCTCCTAGCCCTCTTAGCAAACAGCAAGTTCTCTGCTCTTTCCTTTTCCGGGATGGAGGAGGCTAGACAGGGACATTCCAGCAACGCTGCCCACGAGCCACGCCCGACAAGATGGGAGAAGGGGAAGCAGTGAGCAGGAGGCTTCTGTACTTGCCGCTGCAGAGCGCCGAGAAGGCTCTGTAGCTCAGGAGCCATTCAGAACCACTGTACCGCGAGATAAAAACCAGGCACATGACAACCAACCTCTGGGGGCTCTCCCATGTGATCCTGCAGGTGATTACCTGAAGAGCTGACCCTTCCACAAACCATCAAGAAGCAAAGCAAAGGGAGTCGGTGGAGAGGCAGATCCTGGGTCTGGAGCTCAGTGGAGACTGGAGGAGAACAGGGCAGGACAGACTTTTGCGGTTATGCACCTGGCCTTGTGCGGAGCAGGCCAGTGTGGAAAGGTGCTGGCTTCCCAGCTTTCAAAGGCCGTTGTCTCACCAACCTGGTTTGAGAAGGGTTACCCATTCATTGGCAAAGCTGAGACTCTGGGGTTCTTACCTTGAAGGAAAAGTTACCCCAGAGGAGCTTGAGCCCCGTTTAAGTTGCGACATGAATGGCCTTCTCCCCATGTGGCTGTCCAGCCCACAGAGACAGGGTGTCACAGCCAAGGATCCTGACATGACTCAGCCACTCCAGAGAGCCAGGGCCAGACAATAAAATCAAAATAGAGTGGGTGAGTGGCCCGTGGGTGAAGAAGGCGCAAACAAGTCATCCGCAAAGGGCGGGGGCGGCCCTGTGCATGGGGCCTCGGGCTGGCCAGCCTTCCCGCCGGTTTTCTGAGATGCGAGGTACCTGTTTCTTATGGGAAATCTGCTAACTTAATGATGTAACTAATTCAAGTGTTTAAAGTTTTTTTGTTTGTAGATATAAAAGCTCTATCTGGGGGGTGAAATTAGACCAGATGAAAATGGGCCTCTGGCCTTTACCCCAGGCTAGTGTGGGGTCAGGGCATCTCTGAATCCTAGGGGCCAATGGAAAGAGTCAAGGTCAGCAGTGGGTGCAAAGGCCTGAGGGACAGCTCAAGTGTCTGCCCTCTGTGCCCTCCCTAAGCCAAAGGTGACTTCCCCACCCCCCAGACTTCCCTCGTCCACTGTAGCTGCCAGCTGCACAGGCTGTAAAAACACTAGTGGGTGAAATAGCAAGAGCAGGCCCACTCCTAGGAACAAAAATGCCCTGTCGGGAAGACTTCCTGACACATTTCTTTTAGATGGAAAAATCGTTTAAGGAGGCAAATAAGAGTGTAGCAGAACGGTCCGCCTCCTAGAAGGGAGGAAGGAGGTAGCACTCCATCCCCAGTCCCAGGTAAACCCACCGTTCTAAACGTAATAAGGAAGAGGGAGAAGGGATGCAAGTCCAAAAGGTGGACATGAAGGGTGGCTTGGCACAAGTTCCGCTGCACCCTATCTTCCTGTGGGTCATAAACAGTGAACTTCTTGACGGCTGAGTCAAACCACAGTCAGCTTTCTTTGTTAATTACCCAATACTAAACATAATTATATAGTTTTGCTGTAAAGCACCCAGGCTCAGAGGTATAAAGAGAATCTCCACCTTCCTAGAGGTTAACTACCATTAAGAGTGTGCTATGCATATTGCCAGTTCTTTTACTCTGCCATTTTCAAGTTTATCCATCTTTAAAAAGTAATAAATGGGATCCGATTAGATACACAGCACTTTTTGCTAAGGCCTCTGAACTTGCTTTTGCATAATTAGCAGACTCCTGCCTCCTTCCCAGGCCTACAGAGCCCAGTGGGTCGGGCTCCCTGCCCCTCTGCCCCAGCCACGCGGTCCTCCTGCTCTGCTGGAGCCTGCCTAGCTCCCTCCCGCCTGTCTGACCCTTAGCACCTACTGCTCTTGCTGCCAAACACCCTCCGAGACCCGCCCAGGGCCGGCTCTCACCACGCAGGTCTTAGCTCCATGGCCACCTCTTCGAGGAGACCTTCTGACCCGTCCCGTGCTGCTGCCACCCCCCCCCCCGCCAGCCACTGTCTACGTTACTCCCTTCATATCATTTCTCACTGCCTGAGATCAAGCTGTGTGCCTGCTCATTTGCTTACTGTCTTCTGCAGGCAGAAACTCGATCTTGTCTTGTTCACTACCATAGCCCCATTACCAAGGGCAGTTGTCGGCACATGGTGGGTCTTTAACACATACTCACTGAATGGCTGAATGAACAGTAACTGTCTTCAAACTTGACAATCTATTTTGGAGTGGCAGTACAAACAGGACCATTCCGCGTCTGAAGTGGCTGCACAGTATATGCCACAGTGGGAGGGGCCGGGACTCACTCCACCGCCGCAGAACACAGATTGCGCCCAGCTTTTCTCTCGCGGGCTGCACCGCGGAGGAATTCCTTAGATACAGGCCTGTGCCTATGGGTGCCGGGCAACACACTCCATCTTTGGCTGACACGTTCCCTACTTTTATAGGAAGTGTCATGTCCTGGAGGCTCCCCGCTCTGTGACTCGCCTTGACAGAGTGTGGCTCTAGCCTGGTTCCCCTCCCTCAGCCCAGAGCTGGCTCACCTGGCAAGAGGCAGGGCTTGTACATCTTTGGCCCTCTAGGCCCAGAGGGCAAAGCAGCCTGCAAAACTGGCTCGAATAAAAAAATCGGAATAGGCTGCATTGATAGAATTAGAACAGAGTCTGAGAATAGCTAATGCTTCCAAGTAAGAATTAGGGCAACTGTTCGATTTGCTGTTGAAACCAGGACACTTCTGTGAGTGAAACGGGTACTGTTAATTTATCGTGTTGGGACAACAGGGGGAAACTGGACGGGGGCCCTGGCGATACCACGATCGGGGCCTCTGGCAGGACTCTTACTTGCGTAGCCCCCTCTCATCCTGGCCAGCAGCCTGAGGGTGGCCCCTGTGTTACGCGAGGTTGTGAGTGGTTACGTCTGCCGTCAGAGGCGCACAGCTGCTGATGAGAGGCGGGGCTGGGATCCGAACCCAGGGCAGTGCAGTATCCGCAAGCTCTGGGCTCTGAACACAGGGTTTGGGGAGGAGACGTGCGGAGAGCGTGTCCTGCTTGGCGGTCATGGGAACCACTCCCTGTCGCCCTTCGTGCGAGTCAGGCAAAGCGGAGCCCGAAAGGGGAGGGGGAGGGACAGACATCTGCTCTCCCGTTCGTGCTCCGACAGGGGCACACGCACGGCACGCCGGGGCCCTCTCCCCTTCTCCGAAAACCGTGTGGCAGGTGTCCCGAAGGCCCAGAGGTGGACCGTGTGCTCTGGGCCGGCACGCGCTGTCTCCGGCCGCACTAGTGAGAACTGCAGAGGTCCCTAAGGAAATGAAACCCTACCACTGAAAACACTGCCTCTCTGAAGAGAAGGCAAGAAAAATGCTCCCTTGTTTTAACCACAAATTCCAAATGGACGTATGAAATGTATCTTTGCCACCAGACACTTGATGTTCAACTCAAGGGGTGGGGGACAATTTAGAAAAACAGAGGTAAAAACAGCAAGGCCAGAGCCAAGTGACTCACAGGTAATGTTTGTGTAAGTGCCCCAACTCAGGGACGGCGAGAGAGGAAAGTTGACGGCAGGTAGCGGGATGAAACTTCCCCAGAAAACTGGCTTGGGATTAAAAAAAGACAAAACAGAAAACCCTGATGTTTCCAACGAGTTCTCCAGCGAAAATGGCCAGAGGCCTCCCTGCTTTCTTCTTGGCAACGTCTGCTCAGAGAGCACCCGCATGTGATTCCAGAAAGTGATCTGTGGGGAAACTCTGTTCAATGGAGTCATTTAAAACCCGTGGGGACTCGCGCTTTGCCCGTGAAGAAATAATTGCTACACAAATTGCTGCCTTGCCATAAACAACTAGAAAACTTGTAAAAGGCATTGAATAAAGCTGTCTTCTGACACTGGGTGCTGGGCAGGCTAGGACTGCGGTTCCCAACAGGGGGACGCAAACAAGGTAGCCGCTCCTACCCCAGCCCAGCTCCCCCCCTGGACGGGGCGCCTAGACTGAGGCTCGGAGAGGGGAACCCTGAACCCAGCCCCGCAATCTCAGTCTGGCTGAGAAGGGGAGACTGAGAGCTAGCGGGCACGGAGAAGCTGTACAGACAACTGAAAGAGAGGTCCCACGAGCTGTGACCGAGTGCCCTTGAATCTCGGACTGAATCCGGTCTGCACGTGCGTGGGTGAGACTCCAAGCGGCTGGAAGAGAATCGCTAAAAAGGAATAGGCTGAGCCATTCCCAAGGCACATGCAAGGCCGGGAATAACTTGCGTCCCCACAGGCCGGAGTGGAGTAACCTCCTAACACAGGGCGCATGAGGCAGAGCCGTGTTCCTCGTCTCCTCTGGACCTGCCCCGACAAAGTTTAAAAGTAAACCTCAAAAGGATCCACTCTAGGAAACTTAGACGTGTGGCAAAGAAAACCCCAAACTCTATGAAGAACACACTACAATCTAATAAGCAACACATAATCAAGTTCACAATGCCTGGTATCCAATCAAAAATTAACAGGCAAGCAAGCAGCAGCAGTGTATGCTGAATAAACTGGAGAAATTTAATCAACAGAAACAGACTAGAATCAACAGAGACCATGGAATCAGCAAACAAGGACATTAAAATCGCTGTTATAAATACCGTTCCACGTGCTCCAGAATGTAGAGACAATGATAAATATGATACACGCAACACATGATGTTGCTCGAAAATGTTACGGTAACTAAAAAAAACAGGATCCAGGTGACTGCACACTACACCATATCACTTCTCTGACGCTCTGGAAAAAGGACACTGTACTGGCCAAACGCAGCTCCCTGGGTGCTGGGGCCCAGGGTGGGCCGCCGGCAGTCTGACCCCATCCTCGGGGGAAGGACCTTCAGAGCCCTTGTCCCGGAAAAGAGGCAGAACTGAAGCGATTGTGGTTGCTGCTGTGGGTGGCCGGTCAAGTGAGAGGGGACTGTGACAACCCGAGGCCCTGGGTGCAGCTGGATCTCTAGGGGCCAAGAGATTCCCTTGGCTGCTTAAGCTCTTCTGAGCTGTGACTGTCTCTCGTGGTTGCCAGTGACCCAGCTGACAACCTCTCTCACCAGGCGGGACAGCACGCCCCCACCCAGCACGGCAATGCTCTCGTCCACTTACCCGAGAGGGAGATTCCTTCCGCGAGCCCGTAAGGAAGATACGCGAAAATGATCATCATGCCGAACTCCAAGGAAGGCGTTTTCCTCAAGTCAATGTGCTTGAGCACGTGAATGACGGTTGTCAAGGAAAAGAACCGAGGGACCGTGGACAGGGGATGTAGTGAAGTCACAAAATGCTGCCTTCCCAATGCATTAAGTTAAACATTGGATATGAGATTCTGGAATATTCTGAGCTAGCTTGTGAAAATCTGTCATCATGGATTTTTTTTTTCTTCACAGGGAGACTAGTTTTAAGAAAGGGAACCTGATAAAACTAAGAAATGTAAATTCCTGAGACAAACGGTTGGGGGGAATTCAAATCGACCTGAGTCAGCTCCTTTCAGAACGCTGACTTGGATGGTGGGCAATGTGCCGGGGCTGCGGGCGGCACCGCAGGGGCTGCAGGAGGCCTGGGGACAGCCCACGCTGCGGGGTCCCCTCCGGGGCCTTGTTACACTTTCACCTCCTCCTCTTCCGTCAGATGAGATGAGCTAACAGGGTTTCCAGACTCTGGGGTTCAGTGTCCCATTGGAGGGCCGCCTTTCCTACTCCTGGGGCCATCCAAACTCACGCTCTTGAAAAAGAGCGTCTCCTACATCTTCCAACATTGGCCCCGTGCACCTGGCTTCAGCAGCAGACGCTCCCTGCCCCTTGTAAGAAAAAGATAAATATGGAGGGAAGTGTTAAGCTGGTGAAAGTTTTCTGTTCTGTTCTGTTTATTGGTGCAATATGAGAAGCTGTCAAGCAAGTCAGCAGAGCATTTAGACTTCTGGACAGAAGAGGCTATGGGAAAATTCCACAGGGTGGCAGACAGACGCGCCTGTCACAGGCGACAGAGGCTTTCCCGGCCATCTGGGCATCTGGGACACACACTGCTCCCGGGGGAGGGCCGGGCGGCCGTCTCCCTGAGATGCAGGCTTAGGCCCCGAAATGGTCAGGCGCCTGTTCCTGTCACGACCCTGATGAATTTTCTACGGCAGTGAAGGTGTCGCTGGCCTTCACAGGCCTCTTTCCTTCTCTGGAACAGCTTATGGGTGGTTAAGCAAGAAAATCAGTGCAAACAACTTAAGACAAGCTCTCTTTGAAAGGCTCTTTTCTGGTCCTTCCAGATAAACACTTCCAGATTTTCTCAATTCGGCATTTTCAAATGAAATTAATTTCCAGTTTTTTTAATGTGAAAAGTGAGACGGCAGAAAATGAAAATCATCTGAATGCAGTCTTCATATCCTAGGAACTCCAGCAGTGAGCACGGTTTTTCAGCTTTAAAAAGTGACATTCTAAATTTCACATGTTAAATTAAAAAATCTCTTGAGTTTAAATTAAAGTGCTCCTGGAGCCAAAACTGAGCGAAAAAACCCTCCATCACACACCACCTCAGACTAATACTGGTCCCCTTAAGGGGCCAGAGAAAAGGCTGGAGATGGAGGTGGTGAGGGACACTCTCCCCGTCCAGGCCTGTTGGTCACATTCAAAGGATATTAGTGCAGAGATTAAGCCGGTGAGAGTGCCGAGCGCGGCCGAGCCAAAGAACATTTTGAGGAAGTAGCCAAGGGCTTGTAAAAATGTTTGCCACCCACTGACATCTGACATATTTTTTCTTGTTAAACCTTCAGCTGTGCTAGGAAATAAAAGAAAAATGGAAGGAAGTTGAAATGTTATAGACGAAGTTAGTAGAGCTTTTTCCTTGATTATCCCCTCACTCCTTTGTCCCATCATTCGGTGCGTCACACGTGTTTGTTCACCTGCTTTGTCCCAGGCCCCGTGTCCGTGCCCAGGGGTTCCCAGGTGAGGGCCGAGCCCCTGCCTGCGAGGAGCTCCCCAGTCTAATGCGACAGGATGCACGACCATCTGGGTGAGGGTGCAGGGCTGTGGCAACACCAAGGTTCTGCATGGCGTACGGGCTGGGTTTAGAGCTAGGCTGCAAAACAACGAGGGAATAGCACCGGGCAGAGGGAACAGAGTGTGCAGAGGCAGAGAACCTGAGAATACAAGCACATCCTGGGAACATTCGATTACATAGGTTAGTATGGATAAAGCACAGAAACAGAATGGGCGGGCGCGGCGGGGAAGACAGAGGCGAGGGGTAAGGCCAGAGCAGCAGGCAGCTCAGGACCCATGAAAGGCGTTTGATGAGCCAGCCTCAGGGTTGCCCCTCCACCGCAGAGGCCCTGGGAGCGTTTCCAGCATGGGGGCTCCTGCGGTAAAACCTGAGATTGAGGCGGGGCCATACAGTCTGGTGAGAAGGGAGCCATCTGAAGAAGAACCGCCACTGGGTAGGGTCCGAGAGGGTGGAGTTAGGAGGCAGGAGGAGGAAGAACTGAAAGAGCTTTCCCTTCACTGTAACAGCACAAAGTAAAACTGTCAGAAGCCATTAAATTCAGTTGTTGGTTTTACCCCCCAGGGAAAACCATTATACCATTAGATGGAGTTACTCTCATTACGAGTCCGTCTCACAGTCAGATTCCGCCTCAGGCTGTTTCTTAAATCCATCTGCTTCTCTCCCCTCCTGCCCTCCTGTGCTGTCCCTGAGTTGATGCCTCGCTGACCTCGACAGACCTCCCTGTCCTCCTAGGGACCACCCCGTTCTCCACCTGGCAGCCTGAGTCATCCCCATAAAATGAATGCGCATCTGACCAGGTTATTGGCCTGTTCGCTACCCATCAACAGCTTTCCTGCTGCTTTGTAGGAGGACGCCTAGTCTTCAGCTTGACCTGGTTAGTGACAGTGGGGTTCTGGGGACCCCAAACTAGTAGTCAAGAGGAAACCCCAGAGAAATTTCCAGACAGATTTTATGAAGCTCATGCTCAAGCACAAGGCAGGCAGCCCAGAAGAAAGGACGGTCCTCTACCCTGGCTGGGGGGCTGGCTCTGCTTAGCTGCTTTTCCGAGCTGGACACAAAGCAGGCTTGATCGGAAAGACAGGCTTTTCGAAAAGGTGGGCTTGCAGGGTTTTCCACTCAGGGTGGGGTGACTCCTTTTCCTGCTGCGCTGCCTCTTCACTGCATTCACACCCACGCCGTGGGGGCAGGGTGGCGGAACCCCAGGAAGGCCCCTCGGCAGTCAAACCCTGGTGTCCTGCGCATGCGGGTCAGTGGCTTTAGTGGGCAGTTACAGGGAGATGAAATCAGCTCCCTCTGTGTTTTGGGGGTAGGGAGTGGAGGGGCGGAGACATTTTTGCACTCCTTGCAGTCGCCTGGTCTCAGCTTGACTTCCTGGCCCCCCAGTATTTTGTTTCCATTTCCTGTGCTGTTTCAACCCAATTCCTCTCCCTGCCACACCTCTCGATCCCACTCCTCATTCAGGGTGGGCTCCACTGTCACCGGCACCTCCTGGTAGTCACTCCTCACTCCTTCCTGGCCCCAGCTAACTTGCCAGTTTGAGTCTCAGAACCCAGGGTCAGTGCTGCTTCCTCAGGGACCCCTGCCCTGGGCCCTTTGGGCAGACCGGCCATTTCTCAGGCTCTCCTGCTGCCACCTTCTCCAAAGCAGCCAAAAACTAATGAACTGGTGCATGGGCACCAATCCCGTTCAACTGCCACACGTCCAGGGCCTAAGGCAGCGTCTGGCACCCAGAAGACACCCAATAAACTTTTGCTGAATCAGTAAACAAGGCGAAGAATTGTCAGCAGTAATATTCAACTTCATTACTCAGCATTATGTTAATTGGTATAATTATAAAGCCGGATAATCTCTGATAAAAGGGTAGTTAGATCAAAGGACCTCAGGAAGCCTTTCGTGGGGATTCCCTGCACAATGTAACACAAGTTTCTGCCACGTCCTGAAAGGAAAAAAACCTTTTTTCACCCAGGCGTTCTCCAACTTCACGTCAATGCACCACGCCCCCACCCCCTCTCTTTCGGACATGACCGCAAGTTAACATCCCGCCTTGGAGAATGCCGGGATCCAGTGAGACTCTTACCGGGAAAGTGCTTCCGAGGACTAAGATCGCCCGGAGTTCCCGAAGGTCTGTGGACACGCACAGTGTCTAGCCCCCGGCCCAGGTGGCTCCCTCGGCTGGTACACCGGCCAGTGCCACTGCTTTCTTTTTATGTAGAGGAGGATTAGGCCAAACGGTTTCTGAACTCAGGACAAATGAAAGCAGAATCTGGACTCTTTCTGGCCTGGTAATTTTCTACATTTAATTTTTTTCAGGTCATGCTTCTCTCACCTTACGAATATAAAACAATGCCGCTTCAGAATCCGTTTCTCTCTCTCTTTTTTAAAGATTTTATTTATTTATTTATTTTACCGAGAGGGGGGAAAGGAAGGAGAAACATTAACATGTTATTGCCCCTTGCATGCCCCTAATTGGGGACCTGGCCTGCAACTGAGGCATGTGCCCTGGCTGGGAGTTGAACCAGTGACCTTTTGGTTCGAAGGCCTGCACTCAATCCACTGAGCCACACCAGCCAGGGTAGGATCCATTTCTTGAGCTTAAACTGTAGCTCAAAAGGTTTGTGTAGAACAAAAGGTTTCCTCCACAGAAGTTATTTTAAGAATAAATTGTCAGAGCAACAAATCAAAGCTAAAAATAATTTAATTAAAGTTAATAAAGAAATAGGAGATACTTAGCTTTCTGGCACTTCTGAAAGTAAAAACATTAAAAAACATTCTTATATTCAGTTGCAAAGATAAATGTGTGAGATCACTTTGAAAATGATCATTTATGAAGTACACCCTTAAAAACAAGGCATGATTCTACCTTATAACTGAGGAAAGCTGACAACAGTTCTCTCCTGTAACACCAAAAACAGGGCAGGTCTACCATGTCCCTTGCTCCCCCCCTCTTCTATCTGAAACACCCACTGACTCACGAGACTGCCCCCCGAGAAGCCTCAGGTGCACCCCGCAGAGTGGCCTCAGGTGCACCCTGCAGAGTGGCTGTGTCCTGCTCGCACGGGTGTGTCCACTGCTCTGAGAGCATCTTTCTCTCGCCTTGGATGGAGTCTGTCGAGTCCGACTGCTCCAGCCGGAGCAGTGCCGGTCCAAGTGTCTGGGCCACAGAGGTCCCTCACCAGTGCTCATGGAGGGCGGCCAGCCGACAGTGAGCCTGGAGTCAGGGAGGCTGGCTGGTCGCGTCTCAGGTCAGTGATGCCCTGGTCCGCCTGCGTCCCCGCAGTGGGGGAAGCTACATGGGCGTGTGTGCAGACCCAGTCTGGGGAACTGCCGGCACAGGTGCTCCGGCCTTGGAAAGCACCTCGCCAGGAAAAGCCTTTGGCTACTTTTAACTCATTTTAAAAAGAGAGTATCTCCTAGTGTTTGGCCTTTTTTATGACAAAGAGACCTGGAAAAGCTTGGAATAGGTCCTATTTCTGACTAATTTTTAAAAACAAAATAAATGAGAGACAAAGCAATGGAGTTTAGCTCCTAAAGTGTGAAAATAACTCATGATGTCACCTCCAATTTGGGCACAAATTCCTTATCACAAATGTTCAATGTATGCAGCCAGGATATGAGATCGACATCAAAACCGGAAAGCTAAGGAGCTTTCAGAGTGGATCTTAAGAAAAATACAGCCATCCGGTTTCTTAAAGGTCTTACAGCAAGATATGTGAGAGTTTCCTAATAAAGCTACAGAAAACTCTGTCAAGAGAAATGTGAAAAAGCCAGCAACAAGGTAAAATGATGTTACAGAAGATTATTTTACTTCCTCTGTTCAATGGAGAAGCTACACTGCAGTATGTGGATACGAGCTCATCTCAGTAAGAGAAATGTGTCCTTCCACCCAACTGTTAACTGTAATGACCTCTGGGTAACAACGCATGTAATTTTTCTTCCTTTCTTCTTGTGTGTGTTCTAAATTTCATGTGAATTAACTATATATTATTTTTAGAATAACAAAAATATTTTAAAGTTTGTCTTGTTTAGGTTTGCTAAGCACTTCTTGCAGTTAAGCAACCTTTGTTTGGTAAGTTCTTCCTGCAGAAGCAGCATAAACACAGAGCCAACAGTGGAACAGTGGCGGGGCCGGCGCAGGAGGGCAGAGGGTCTCGCATGGCTTGCTGTCAGGTGCTTTTTGCAGAGTGCCACACTGCGCTGCTCATTCCTCAGATCCAGTCCGAGGTGGAGGCATTACCGCCCTCACAGCCACTAACTACAGAAAAGCCTGTGGCTCAGGAGGCGAGGGAGCCGACCCAGGGTCACACAGCTGTGAGTGGCACTGGTAGGTGGGACAGGTACTAAACTAGGCAGGGAGGAGGAGGAGACATGTCTCACCCTCTGGCTCAGCAGTCCTGAGCCTGGTCTGATAGGATCACCAGGTTTTCCGACCATCACCAGCAGGGACAGCGCAGGAGGAGGGGCCCTGAGACTCCGCTGGGAAAGGCGGCCTCTGTAACAATTTCACTAACCTCGATAAAGAGCCTTAGTAACAGGAAGAAAGCCTTGGTAGCTGTACAGTGTTCCCAAGGTTTAGAAGGGGAAGGAGGAGGAGAAACCTAGAAACTGACTAAGGTATATAACCCCTGAGCCCCAACAGCTGGTGCACTCAGATTAGCTGGGTGCCCACTTGCAGCCTCGGCTCAAGCATAGAAAATAATCTCACTCACGAACTTACTAACAACTTTATTTCCTCCACGCCTGGGGCATTCAGACTAGCTAGGTGCCCACTTGCAGCTCTGGACTCATACGTGGTTCACACGTAAACTTGCTATCCCATTCCCACCACGCGTGTTGCCTCTCACTTGCATCCTTCCCTTGCAAGTGAGGCAAGAACTGAGGAACAGGCTTGGGGGGCGGGGCCTTGGCTCCGGATCTCTCCCCGGTAACAGCATCACCAGGACTTGGACCCAATTCGGCCTGGCTTCAAAATCCGGGCTCTTTCCACTGTAAAACATCCTTCTAGTCCAGTATATGAATTTCAAATGTCATCTATGACACAGCTTTTAAGAAAATGCTAACCACCACAGAATGTTATGCTTAGCAAAGAAGCTCACAACAAAGGAAACCAGTCAGAATTCAGATCACGGAAATTCTACTCTCCATCAGAACGCTGACTGGCTCCCCACATTCTCTGGGCTCATCAAATCACACACTGTATAGGGCTCTTTTCTCCAACTGCTTTGACTGTTGGTACCTTTTCTGTTTTTTGGCAAAACTGTTTGGCTCTCTTGCCCACATAGGGCAATGAACACCACAAAATATAGAGTTCGAGGGTAAACACATCTGAAATTATCTTGAATTCTGTTTCTTTTCCCAAAGACATCTTACGATTCACCTTTCATTGCTCAGATCCCATCAACAAGGGCACAGCGATGCCAATGCACGTTTGAACAAGACCCGCGGTTTCCGAAGTGGCTTCCACCCAGCGGCATCTTAAGGAAGGCGCCCATCCCCTCCGCTATCCTCCTTTCCAGCCGGGAGAAGGAGGGCAACCTGTGGCCGCTCCCGAGTGGGGAGCAAGGCTCCGTCTGCAGCATGCAGTCCACACTCAGCCCTCAACAGGCTGCTCGGTCATCGTCTGGGGAAACTGTTAAAAACCCAAGTTCTTAGCACTCACCTCAGACCAGTCACTGGCTTAAAAGCCCTGGGGTGGGGCCTGGGAATGCCACATTTAATGAGACCCTCCGCCCCCCCCCCCCACACTCCGAACTACTGCTACAAGTCAGGTTATAAAAGGCGATCACCCGAGACCTTGACAGTATCCCTGGGGCACAACCACACTGGTGAGCACAGAAAGAGAAGCAGGTGAACCGGTCACCCAGAGGACAAGCAACTACACGTACAGCTGCATGGGGACCTCTGTCCTTTTGTGCCGGGGACCTCTCATTCCGTCCCCCGAAGAGAGCACACTCACTTGGTCAGGACGATGGACACCGCGTCGTTGAGGATACTCTCTCCGAAAACCAGCATGTTGAGCACCGGGTCCACGTGGAGCGCGTTGAAAATAGCGATGGTGGCCACTGGGTCGACAGCAGAAATCAGGGAGCCAAACGCAAAACTGTAACGAAGGGAACAGGAGGGGGCATCTGTAACACTCCTCACTTGGTCCACATGCTAAAGCATTAAAGCCAGGGGCTGTGTTTGATACGACATCACCGCACACCCACGGGAGCTGACGTGATGACAGGAGCTGGTGTGTTTTTTCTTCTTACAATATTGGCGGATTGACACTGAGGGTGGAGCAGTGAAGTGCCCACTCGAAACAGAGTTGTGAGGAACAGCCTGGCTGTCCACTCTGCGCATCGAGACTCGGTGGAGCAGCGATGGAGGGAAGGCTTTGGCCTACATGCTCGAGACTCCTCAGCTTGTTGGTTGGAGCGGTTGGGAGCACAGTGGCTCAGGGGCCGCCCCCAAGTGACCCCTGGGCTGCTGGGTCTGAACTCTGCTCTGCTGCAGCCTCGGTTCACATTTGTAACATCTAAAAAATGCCAAGAGCAGCAACGCGAGCGCACTTCAGGAAAAGGGTGGCTTGGCTGGCGGACACCAGCCCCAGAGCTGCCTCCTGCTGGGCCGGCAGCTCTCATCAATAGCCCCCACAGAGGTCTCGTTACCTCCAACCAAGATGCATCAATGGCCTGCTGTGCTCCAGGCACCGAGGCCAATGATAACAGTAACCTTTGTGTGCACGGATCCCGCCCCAGGTGCTGTACGAAGCACTTTACACGGAGTAGCTCAATAATCCACCCAGCAGCTACATGAGATGCACCGTTACTGCCCCGATGACACGGGAGAAAGCTGAGCTTGTCCAAGGCTGGGCGGCTAACAAGCGGCAGAGGCAGGATTTAAACACAGGTCATCTGGCTCAGAGTCAGCGCCCCTATACCAGATACGGCAATATCCAGAGACTGAGACCAACTCAGAAAATGACATATTAAATCAGGGTGACAAAGAGTAACCTGGAAAGGGGGAGGGATGCACTGTTGGATTGAGCAGTCAGGAAAGGCCTCTCTGAAGAAATGACACTTATCTGAACAAGAACTTGGATAAGCAGCAGGTGGCCGGACCAACATCTGGGGGCAGTGGCAACAGCAAGCTGCCTCTGCGGTGGGAATCAGCTCGGCTGAGAAACAAAACAGCCAGTCTGGCGGCTCCATGGCCGGGGCAAGTGGCAGGAGATGGCAGGGGCTGGCGAGGGAGGCGAGGCAGGTGGGGCCTCATCGCCCCCTGGGGCTTTGTGGGCCACCCCAGGAGTCGAAGGCTTGTTATCTCAGCCCGTGTGTCCTCCTCCCCCTCAGTGTCCCTGCAAGCCTCTGTCCTGCATTGGCAGAATGGGTAGGCCTGCCCCTCCCACAACACAAGGCACGACATGGGGCCCCAGTGGCAGGGCCCTGCGTGAGAGCCCCCACCACTGCTTCCCACCCCCACCAGCTCACAGTCTGGGCGGGGAGGGGGAGCCTCTCGGCCTGCAGACGGAGTGCACTCTGTCCCCTCTGCCGTCCCCAGTGGCCCTGGATGGTCACTGGACTCCGGGCTCAGGGAGGGGAGTGCTGGCGGGAGGAGGAGCCCGGCTGCTTCACCAGGCACGGTTCTCTCCAGAAATCGGTGCCCCGGCCTTCAGATTTCCGGGGCAGCTCCCTGCGAGTTCAGTTCCTGTGAGTTCACGCAGGGGAGCCTGCTCGCCTCAAGGAGCGTCTCCGGACCCAGAGGGTCTCAGCTCAGACCCCAGTTCCCACGTTCCCTGTCCTCGCAGAAGTTGTGACATGCATTGTGAGCTGTGACCTCACTTGCTTCTAGCTTTCCCTGTGAGCACCAGGGGTGTGGGCCCTGCATTTCAGCCATGGGTATATTCCCAGGATGGATACTGAGCACAGTGCAGAGAGCTCGGTGGAAGGCAGACAGGCTGGAGGGAAGGAGGAGGGGAGGCTGGGAAACAGATGACCGCCAACCTGGGAGACCCTGACCGGCTGGCGCCTGCGAGGCCCCGTGCTGCATCCCAGACACAGGCCTTCTAGTCTCTCTTCTTCTGTCCCCTTTCTCATCACTCATTCATGGCAAATCTGCAGGGGCCGCGAAGGAAGCCAACTGTCTAAACAGTGTATTCTGAGGTGGTGGGAGAGGCGGGGGTATGGGGGACAGTCCTGGGAGCCCCTCCTTCCATCCCCCAGTGCCACACAGGAGAGTGGTCGGCCACAGGTCTCCCTGCTCAAACACCCATGCACCTGGGTTTTGGTAACAGCACCCCAATTTTTCTTTGAGGAGCCACTTCCTTACTCTTCATCCATGCAGTTGTGTGGGACTCTAGGACTGGGCAGGGGACCCAAGTTTGGTCAACGTGGGCCATCAGCAGGCACCTTAGCAGGTCATGTGGAATTAGTGTGGCCATTTGGCAAGGATGGCTGAAGGGTGACATGATCCCAGAGCCATCGGTGCTGCCACTTGGGGCACAAGTGCCCGAGGAGGAAGTTAGTCAGGGAAGAGCAATGTTGTGGGGACAGGGGAGATTCCTGACACTGGGGGCCCCTGCTGGCTGTCACGCCAGAAGCCTCACTCTGGGGACACTTCAGTTCTATAACCAACTTCCTTCGTCTTTGAAAAGCCACTCTGCACTGGGTTTGAGCTGCACTGAGAGAGGCCTGCCTGATGTCCTTTGCCATGGTCCCCACGGCACCCTGAACTGGCAATCAGAAGCAGGAACCAGAAGGTGGACTGATGAATGGGTAGGGCGATAGGGAGATGGAAGACCCGTGCAAAAGCAGACAGAGCAGAACGGTAACTACAGACTCGGGGTGGTGGTCACGGGGCCACGTTGCTGTCCGTTTCAGGTGTTACGATAAAGGGTTGGGGGAAAGGCTTTATGTAAATTATACAGCACATGGTTGGGGATCCCCTGGTTGGGGATCTCAGCTTGGGTGCAGCACTTCTGACAACGACTGTGGAGAGTCAGGAGCTGCCTCCCCTGCGTCACCCACGGTCCGAAACCAAGGGGTCACATGACTTGCCAGTTGCTCCGCTTCACACCTTCCCATCCCAGTTTTCACACAGCCAGAAGCTAGGAGTTCAACTTAAAAATGTGTTTTCTTGATTCCATCATCTTAAAGAATAGCAACATCAAGAAAACAAAAAGAGGCTCAAGAACAACTCAGAGCCCCAGAGCCGATAAATCTAAGCGATGAAGAAATAGCCAAACTTTCAGATGCACAGTTCAAAACACTGGTGATCAGGATGCTCACAGAACTGGTTGATTTTAGTCACAAATTAGAGGAACATATGAAGGCTAAACTAATTGAAATGAATGGAAATACACAGGAAACCAATACTAATGGAAAGGAAACTGGGACTCAAATCAAAGGAGTGGACCAGAGGAAGAAAAAAAAAAAGACCAAACAGAAAAGGATGAAGAAACAAAAATTTAAAAAAATGAGGAAAGGCTTAGGAACCTTCAGGACATCTTTAAACGTTCCAACATCTGAATTATTGGGGTACCAGAAGAGGAAGAGGAACAGCCACCAGTGGAAAACTTATTTGAACAAATAATAAAGAAGAATTTCGCTAATCTGGCAAAGGAAATAGACTTCCAGGAAATCCAGGAAGCTCAGAGAGTCCCAAAGAAGTTGGATCCAAGAAGGAACACACCAAGGCACATCATAATTACATTAGCCAAGATTAAAATGAAGGAGAGAATCCTAGAAGCAGCAAGAGATAAGGGGACAGTCACCTACAAAAGACTTCCCATCAGACTGTCAGTGGATTTCTCAAAAGAGACCTTATAGGCAAGAAGGGGCTGGAAAGAAGTATTCCAAGTCATGAAATCCAAAGACCTACATCCAAGACTGATCTATCCAGCAAAGCTTTCATTTAGAATGGAAGGGCAGATAAAGTGCTTCTCAGATAAGATCAAATTCAAGAAGTTCATCATCACCCAGTCCTTATTATATGAAATGTTAAAGGGACTTACCTAAGAAAAAGAAGATAAAAAAGATGAACAGTGAAAGGACAGAAGGACAGCAAACTCACAGTTATTAAGAACCATACCTAAAACAAAAGCAAACTAAGAAGACAGCTAGATCAGGAGCAGAACCAGAGAAATGAAGATCACGTGGAGGGTTAGCAACAGGGGAGTGGGAGAAGAAGGGGGGAGAAGGTACAGAAAATAAGTAGCATAGATAGTAGATAGAAAATAGAGGGGGGGCAAGAATAGTATGGGAAATGTGGAATCTAAAGAACTCGAGATGTGGTCATAAACTAAAGGGGGGGGAATGGTGGGGGAGGGGTGTGCAGGGTGGAGGGGAATGAAGGGGGGAAATAGAACTGTAATGGCATAATTAATAAAATATATTTAACAAAACAAAACAAAAAGAACCCTGGCCAGTGGGGCTCAGTGGGTGGGGTGTCGTCCTGCAGACCGAAAGGTCAGGGGTTCAATTTCCGGTCGGGGCACATGCCTTGGTTTCAGATTCGGACTGGGGCTCCTATGGGGCTCCTATGAGCATTTCTTCAGACAGATAAAAACAAGGAAAGAAAACAAAAAGGAAACAGTCTAGGATGCTGAAATATTTCAGGGTGTATCTGGGAGTAAAATACCCCTCCAGCAGAAATATCACTAAAATAAAGTGCAACAAAGTTTTCTTTTTTTTTCTTAAATGTTTTCTCTAGTGCAGATGTCTGTGGGTCCCACATTGGACCTGCATGGTGTTTTGAAAAACTGAACAAATTGTCAACATTTAAGAACCAGAAAATTCCCTATTAAAATATAAAAACCTGTCCTCTTTTGAAAAAAATTTAAAAAAATATCTAGTGATTCTGGGGGCAGAAAGGTAGCTAGCAGGCAGAGCTGGGTGGGGAGTGGCCGCCCTGGCAGACAGGGCATGCTCTCCGGTTCCCGGTCCCCCCTCTCGAGTGCACCAGGCCAGCTCCCTCCCGAGTGATGAACGAGCTCTGCCAGGCCCGGCAGCTGTGTGGGTTTGCCACGGCTGGCTAGTCCCCCCCCACACACACTCCCCGTTTGCGGGACAGTCACTTTCCAACAGGAAACAAAGTGTCTGCACAGAGAGGAAGAGAGTCCACCTGGCTGTCACTGTGCTTGTCTCAGGACCAGTTCTCTTATTCCTCCCCCTCGACATCCCAACCACCGGTTCAATTCAGTTCCACAAGAATTTGTTGGGCACATTCTGCATCTCTGCCCAGTTGCCCCCAATCAGGTTGAAGGACAGAAGGAAGGCCGAGATGCCTTCCTTTACTTGGACTGGGTTTGGGGCCTTGCTTTTCACTGGTAAAATACCTACAAAATACGGGGCACCAGTTCTGGTTTATTTCCAGCTCCTTATGGGACAAGAATATGACTTTTGCTACTTGTTTATATGTCAAAACTATCTTTCAACCAGAGCTCTGAAATTTATGCCCCTGGGAGAAAAATGAGATTGGACTTAATGTTATCAGAGGCACATTTCCCATGAAAAGGGCTCCGAGTTCTAGTCCCCAGGGTGCTGCTAAAGGCTGACAGCTCTGGCGGGCTGGATTGGGGGGCCCCAGGGCAGAGCGCTTGGACCGCTTCCTAGCTCCCCAGCCCTGGGTGGCAAGAAGAACTGAGTGCTGACCGTGGGGCCAGAAACACAGAGCAGGGCTACACCCTTGCTGGGCTCTTCAGGGAGAAGAGACCGGCTGTAATCTGCTGATGCGCTTTTTCAGCACTAGATCCAGAAACTACTGAGAAACAGCTGCTAGGCTGCTTCTCACTAAGCCAGTTATGGACATTCCCAGACTGGGCTTCTAGGCTTTGGCCCTGAGCGCTCGCTGGGGCAGCTTCAGGAGGAGGACATCTGCAGTAGAGCCCGCGGCCCTGCCTGCTTCCCCCACTGTCCCCCCACCCCAGACCGGGTGGGGGTCCCAGAATAAAGATTCACACCTCACTCCCCCCTCCACCCCTAACCCACTTCAAAGTTTACACAGTTGTATTTTTCCCTGTGGCCATTGAAAAGGACTTAGAAATCAGCTGAAAAGGTTGTTACTAATAAATCAACGGTACAGTGTGTGGTGTTGGGGGGGGCAGTTAACTCCCCCCACCCAAACCCAGGGAGCTGGGTTAACCCCCAAGTTACTCCCTCCAAAGCTTAAACTATAGTAATCATTTCAATCAGCAATGTTCTGACTAGAGATCTTGAAAATTTCTTCCATCTAGTTTTGATTCATTTCAGAGACCCGCATTAATTCAGAACAGATTCTACAGGGAAATCATCAGCAAAACAAAAAGAGAAAGAACAGAGAGGTACCACACCCAGGAATTAATGTCTCAAAATGTCCCCCCTCTCAAAAGTAGTCGCGTGGGTGTTATAGTATGAAAGATTTACCTGTCTGTCATGTTGAGTTTAGAGATTACATCAGCCTGCAAAACAAAACACACAAACACACAGACACAAAAAAATACCCCTGGAGAACAGCCAAGAAGATGAAAATGCCCGTTAGTGCGATACCACAGACTGATAAGGACACGCGTCCTCCGTCCTCAAACCACTTGAAAGAAACGTTAACACTCCTCTAACTTTTAGTTTAAATCTGTATCTGATCACCATACAACAGAAGCGTGGAAAAGAATGCTATGTTTTTCAAGCCAAACTAACTACGACTTTCTTTTCTAAAGTTTATTTGTGTTTGGTGCTAGAAGCCAGGCAATGAGGTGAAGGTCAGATGGAACAGGCTTTAGAGCGCATCTGACCCCAGCAGGAGAGACCTGCCTGTCACCCAGCTGCCTGAACCTCAAACTGACTTAACAGAACTGGGGCAGACGCACTTCCCGCTACTGGCCAGAAAGAAGAACTACCATGCATAGATGTGCATGAGGCAAAACCACAAACACTACCTGCCTGAGGGGGGGGGGGGGGGGCTGATTTAAACGAATTCAAACAATCTGAACCCCAAGCATGGAACACCCGATTGGTGACCCTGGAGCTGGTGTAGCAGTGGTGGGAAATCCAGAGTGTAGAAGTGTACAGGTGGACACATTAGAATTGAGTGAACACGTTCAGAATCATCTTTGATTTTTAAAACACGAATTTTAATTTAAAAAAGGAGCATCTAACCCTGATTCAGTGTATATAACAACACAACCAATAGTGTTATAACCTGAAGATCTTGATGATATATATTCTGCTTTATTTTTAGCTCTTTCAACTTAAGACAATATTGGTTTGTGAGAGCAAATAAATATTGTACTTTTGAGGATTATGGGAAAGACTCACTCAAGTCCAAGACATCAAAGCTCTCGAGGACACGGAGGGACGACTTCAGCATCACTCTACTGTGCCTCCTTGAGTCTGGACTTCCTTCCAGGGGGGCAACCCCACCCCGCCTCCCTGCACCAGCGCTAAGAATGTACTACTGTCAGAGTTTCCCAAAGATGGTTGGTTCTCTTACCTGGCCCAGAAAATAAATTCCTCCGCCTACTACAAAAGCGGAAATTGCTGTACCAAAAACAGAAAACAAGATGATGGAACCAATGTTTTGAAAGAAGTTACCCTGTTTGAAAGAGCAGAAATGAGAGGAATAATTAGAAAAGCCGCTCCAGCCGAAGAAGGCAGAGACCCCACACCTGGTGCTCCTCATGCGCTTGTTTCCAGGACGTCGCCGCCCACCCTGCTTGGCAAGCTGGACACCCCGGAGCCTGCCCGCATACCCACTTCTAATGCAGAGTCTGGTCCTGCGGCTTCTGCCTTCCCCAGGCCGCTCACCCTTCCACCCCACCAACTTCTTTCCATCGTCACCTCCACTGCCCTTGGCCAATGCCCCGTCTTCTCCCCGCCAGGGCCACTGCAATAGCTCTAACAAGTCTCAACCGTTCCTGACTCATGCCCTCCACTCTCTAAGGGCTTCCAGAATGATCTTTGCAGAAAACAATTCTGATTGTGCTGCCTTAACTCTGACCCCATTCCATTCAAAATGCAGCTAAAACCCAACCAAAGCCTGGACGGTCCAACCCCTGGGAAGGCCTCTGACCTCCCCGTTTTCTGGGCGCCGGTCACACTGGTGGGTTTCTGTTCTTCACACACACTGTGCTCCCTGGGTCTGGAGCCCCTCTCCTTCTCTTTGCTCGGTGAACTTGCAACACCCTGAGATCTCGGGACATTTTCACTCTTCCTGAGGGAGGTCTTCTCTGATCCCCTAGCAAAGTTACGTCCTGTTCTGTGTCCTCAATGCACAATGGACCCTCTCCTGGTAGCACTCGATATGGCTGAAAATTTACATTTATTTGTGTAACTGTGTGATGTCCATCTTTCCCACTCAGCACTCAGTGGGAGCAATGACCACATCTGCTTTTGTACAACGTCACCGACATAATGCTTGTCAGAGGCAAGATGCCCAATGAACAGGTACCAAAGGAATTAATTGGGTTTCATGTCTGATCAGAGTCCAAAGTTGATACTGTTGTAATTTTTCATTTCATTAAGAAAAGGCACACCACTACAAAAAATGTCAAAACAGTAGATTGTACTGCCAGAAACTCCTCTTTGCTGTCCAGGCCTTTCAAACAATTTATTTCACTCCATTGGTACCATCACCAAATAGAAATATGACGGATAAAATGTATTTCCCTCTATGTTCTATGGCATTTAAGAGAAAATATTTGAGTCCAAGCAGCATGATGACATCTTTCAAATTTCCATAAAATTAAGAAAATCGGCGGTTTCTCGGAACCCTGTGGGCCCACTCGGGAACAATGCCATGAAACCCTGACGATCCCTTGACTATGAGCGTGGACAAGGGACCCCAGCTTTTCCTTCTGGAACGGGCAAGCCACAGATGACAGGAACTGATGTTTTAAGGCTCACTTCAAAAGGGCGCCCTCAGCTCCACCCCGACAGACCACTAATCTGTCCCCTCAGGAAGTTTCTGTGCGTCATTCACTGCGATTTTGAGTCGGCTGCCCACGGTCTGACACTCAGTAAGTTGGTCTGGCATGTCGATCCTTAGCCACAAAGAACTTTAACATAACTCAAGCCAAACACAATGATTTTTTTTTGAAACAAAAGGCTTTCATCTATGAGTCTTTCTTTGCAAAAAGCTGCTTTATTTTGTTAGTATTTTAAAACAGACTCAAGTAAGTCTTGGTCTGTTTATAGGGAGCTCATTCTGATAAAATATATGTAGGCGGTTCATGGTAATCTGGATGTTGAAAATTTACCCAAGTTCATGTTACTACACTGTAAGAACTCCCCTTTGCTAAACAGAGTAAATTCATCTGCTTCTGACATAATTAATGTCCTACTGTTTGCATGACATTAATAATTTAAAAAGCCGATACCTGGCTAGCTAATGCATATCAACTTAGAAGAGACTCACTGAACTTTTTATTCCAAATTTACATGAGCAAATACAGCAATATTAAGATAAAACACTCAAGGATGACTTCCTATCTCCTTTGGGGGAAGGTTAAAAAGTGGGCAGAGTCTCTGAATTCACATTTCCAAATCACATTAGTCCCTTTCACATAAATTATCACACTTTTCTGCTGGAAAGCCATCTTCAAAGAAATGATTTTCATTTTTTTTTCTTAAGACTTTATTTATTTATATTTTAGAGACTGGGGAAGGGAGGGAGAAAGAGAAGGAGAGAAACATTAATGTGCAAGAAACCTCAATTGGTTTCAACTCCCACTCCCCTAACCAGGGGCCTGGCCTGAAACTCAGGCATGGGCCCTGACCGGGCGTCAAACTGGTGACCTTTCAGTTTGCAGGTCACCCACCTGCAAACCCACTGAGGGCACCCACAATGCCCAGCCCACCGAGCCATACCATTCAGGGCAAAGAAATGATTTCTAAAGAAATTATTATTTTCCTCAAAGTTTGGACAAGTTTATTTCCCCTCCCTCCGAAACATTAGAAAACTTTCCATGCTCCAATATGGTCAGCAAAGTGTTGTTTTTAAGTCAAAAATACAATCTACTTCCTCAACTTTGATTTAAAATATTTTCATAATCTGCCCTGGCTTGCACCAGCCTGTGAACCAAAGGGCTACAGGTTCAATTCCCAGTCAGGGCACATGCCTGGGTTGCGGTCAGGTCCCCAGTGGGGGGCGCATGAGAGGCAACCACACACTGATGTTTTCTCTCCCTCTTTCTTCCTCCCTTTCCCTCTCTCTAAAAATAAGTTAAAAAAAGAATTGTGGCTTTTATTTCCCTCAAGATTCTTCTTGAAGGAATAAAAATAAATAAATAAAATAAAATATTTAAAAAATCTGTTGATACAAAATGAAAGAATAAAAGACATTGACCTTCAATTCCTTCTTGCTTTTTTCTTTTTATCAATTATCTGATATCAGTAACAGTTTATAAGACTTGGGAATTATTTTTTTCTACATTAAACTTTCTTTTCACATTTTCTGTGGATAGATGGACAATAAAATAACAACTTTAAAATAAATCTGGACTGAACATCTTAAAATGTTTTTGGTGTAGTACCCAGGTGAAAAATTAAAAATTAATTTATATGTGTTAACAAAAACTCTTGACAAATTTAATACCCAAGTTTATTGTTATTCTCATAATACTACTAGTAATATTAATATTAGTAATAATAGATATTATTATTCACAAGAAGCACTATGATTTATTTAATGTGGTGGGTGGTGCTTTGCATGCATTTTTTTCATCTAGTGTAAATTTCCAAGCGACCTGAGAGGTAGGGTTTTGGTGGGGTTGTTTTAATTTCTACAGTTCCCAAAGAAATCCATAGGGGGCAGCACATGATTAGATCTAGGTTTCTGGCTCCAAAGTCCAGGCTCTTTCCTCTCTCCAAGGGTAGGCCAAACCTCGGTCCTTCCAACCTCTATAATTTCTTTATCATATTTACAAAGTAACTTTTGTATACTAACATTTAAATTGAATCATCTACTTCAAAACTGAAATACACTGGTATTTAAAGAAAACACAGGCAAAGAAAAACACCCATGCATACAAACAAAACGGGCTTAAAAGTGAACAGCTCCTGCCCAGACAGAAAGAGTCCACTGGCACCTGGAGGAGAGACCAGAAATGGCAAAGCAAGGCAGGGACTGGACTGCGCAGGGGCCAGTGATGCTGCTCCTCAGGCTGGAGCTGGGGAGCTGAGACTGGACAGAACCACTGTGGGACTGGGGGAATGTGCCAGAAGGAGCTGGACAACAAGGCAGAAGGATGGGGCTCCATCCTGGACGGGGGGATGTGGGGGTAGAGGTGGAGACTAGGGGAGGAGGGGAATACCAGCAGGAAGTTGAGGCCCAGGATGGGGCACTGAGAGGGGAGACACTGAACAAGGAATGGGCCTAAGGAGGGCAGAGGGCCCACGTGGTGAGCTGAGAGAATCGAAAGGCCCAGGGCACATGTCCCTGTCCACCCAGGACACAGTCTATCCTTTCCACACGTGTCGGTTTACGTCCAACAAGAAGAGTCAACATGCCGTCTGTGCACCACTGAAAATCACTTTGGTCATCTTCCTAGCGAAGCGCCCTTCTGTGGACAGCACTGCCTGAAACCAGGAACGCAGCCCGCTGACCATGTCTGCTCCCGCCCACAGGGCAGGCTGTCCATCCAGCTTCTCCCATGCACGCCCAGGGTGAGCAAAAGGAGACACTGCTGCTAAATTAACGTCCAAGCTTTTAAGGAGCTTGCCTTACCGACGCGGAAGCCATCCAGCCTTACCTTGTGTAATGAATATCCTGACTCAAATATAATAGGTGGAAGCAGCAGAAGAAAAAACATATTTGGACGGAACATTTCTTCTTCCTGGAAATATTAAATGGGTACTTTCAGAGGCAATTATGAAATAAATCCATCAGTAAAGAGTCAAAGTAATTCTTCTCTTAGGCCTGGCCCAGTGGAAACACATCATGTTTTAAAAACTGCATGATAAAAACACCCAGCAGGAGAACAGACAAACCCCCCACCAAAAAATAAAACGTGCATTTTAAATTTAGGATAAGTGGTTTAAAAGATGACCAGCAAAAGAAAAGGCAGAATGAATTGCTTCTAAACATAGTCATATGCTTTTTTACCCTTTACTAAGGCAAGAAAATTAATTTTCATATAGAAAACATTTCGAACAGAACACTTTTGAAAAGCCCACGGACTGGAACCCTCCAGGACAAAGGTACTACTGGGAAGCCCCAACACACTCCAACTGCAGGAAGAGTAAAGCCCACACGTTTGAAAGAGCCCTGCCTTTTCTCTGCCTGCCTCAGACAACCCTGCCACTTTCCTTGATCTGACTGTGATGAGGGAGTCCCCACCTGATGCTCTCACGACTTAGGACATAGGACCTGGCTATAAAGCCAGTCCCTCAACACGCTTTCAGATTCAAATGTTAACTACGGTTCTGAAAGGCATTTCCAGGTAGTGCCATCTTTGGCGGGTTGAAATAACACTCCAATTGTTGGTGAGTTGGGGGAAAATACACTCCAGTCCTCAAGCCACAAGAGACTGCATGTAATACATGTAAATATTGCAAAATCAGGCCTTTTTTCATGTGAAAATTTCTAAGCGACGATCTTGACAGTCTGATTTCTTATCAAAAGCTATATTCAAAAGAAGGACTAAATGTATTCTTACAAATGTACAGCTGTTACCATAAAGACTAAAATAGCATTTAAAAAAGGCTCAAAATGGAAGTAAATGATGACTTCTAATTAAGTCTTAAAATAACTGCAGGTGCGACAAGCTCATGACTCAGACCGGGGCCGCGGGACAAGTAACGGGCTGATCTCCATGTTTTGTGGGGCAACCAATTCTCGGAATCTGTGTCATGCGGCCGCTGTGCTGATCTTCTTGGACTATCAGAAACTAAATCTCTGCTGGGAAAAAGGAGAACCCAGCGACAGTGGATCGTGTAGTACCCTCCTGTCCCAGTTCATGTCCACTGGAACCTCAGAATGTGACCTCACTTGTAAATCAGGTCTTTGCAGGTGTAATTAAAGGAAGAATCCCCAGGAGATCACACTGAATGAGGGTGGACCCCACACCCAAGGAGAGTGTCCTCATCAGAGACAGAACAGGACACACCCACACACAGCGAATGTCCTGTGAAGATGAACTGAGACCCCCCCACTGGGGACCTGGCCCACAACCCAGGCCTGTGCTCTGACTGGGAATCGAACGGGAGACCCTTTGGTTCACAGCCCATGCTCAATCCACTGAGCTACACCAGCCAGGGCTAAATTCCTGTTCTTTTAATTCACCCAATCTGTGGTACTTTGTTACAGTGGCCACAGGAAATGCATCTACTACCTTACCATGAACAATGTTACAAAAAGGTCCCCGGTTCCTTTTGGCAACGTTTCTCCCCAAACAGTCTGAGATCATTTTCGGTGGCACCTAAGAAGTGTGCACCGCATACCACTGACCATGCGGACTGAGAAAGTTCGCCCCTTCGGACTCTTTTCCAAGTCCAGTTGGAGACACAGCCTCCCTCCAGTGTGCTGATTTCTCTTTTCGACAGAGAACGGGCTCGCCTCAGAGGCTACAGCAGGCACACGTATTCCTTTGTTTTTATGTGTTTATTTACAAAAACAGTATTGTTATGTTTCCTTTAAAATAAATGGATAGTCCTGGCTGGTGTAGCTCAGTGGATTGAGTGCCGGCCTGTGAACCAAAGGGTCGCCGGTTCGATTCCCAGTCAGGGCATGTGCCTGGGTTGCAGGCCAGGTCTCTAGTGGAGGCCACGTGAAAGGCAATTACACATTGATGTTTCTCTTCCTCTTTCTCCCTCCCTTCCCCTCTCTCTAAAAATAAATTACAAATATTTTTAAAATAAGAAGGGGAGCCCTGGCTGGTGTGGCTCAGTGGACTGAGTGCCAGCCTGAGACCTCAAAGGTCACTGGTTCAATTCCCAGCTGGGGCACATGCCTGCCAAGCTGGGTCCCTAGTTGGGGGTGTGTGAAGGGCAGCCAATTGATGTTTCTTTCACACAGCAGTGATCCTCTCCCTCTCTTTTTCCCTCCATTCCTCTTTCTCTGAAAATAAAAAAAGTCTTTTTTAAAAAGCAGGGAGTGGGGGATGGGAGGTTGTTTAATGGATAGAGTTTCTCCCCAGGATGATGGAAAAGTTCTGGAGACAGTGGTGATGACCATGCAACCCTGTGGGCATGTCCAGTGCTACTGAACTGTGTATGTGATGCTACTGAATCGCACACTCAAAAATGGCTAAAGGGATACGTTATACGTTTTGTATGTTTTACCACAATAAAGCTTTAAAAAACTGCTACAAACATGTATATAAATAAAAAAGTAAGTTGATCAACAGAAACATACGAAGCATTAGGACAATACAGGAAGAAGGCTGCCCCAGTGAGACACAGTCTGAAAACAGAACTTCTTGGAGGAAAAAACACCAAGCTCCTCGTTCTTATCTCCCAGGTTCCAAACAGGTGTCCTGCTTCCTGCTCTTGCTTTCCGCAAACACCTGCTCTTCCAGGAAGCCTGCCCCACTACCCCCCACTAGAAACCTCGCCCTCTTCTGAGGTCAACCACTGGTTGCCCAGATGGCTCTTCGGGAAGTTAATTATATTCATTACCCAGCTCTGGTTCACTTGTCTGTACTATTGAATGTACGACCGTTATTTTAACCTGAAAACGAAATTCAGTAACACTGAAGCACATAAAACTAAAAGTGAAAGGTAACCTCCCTTCCCCTTCTCCCACGACTCAGAGCAGGGGTTCCCAGCTCAGAGGCTTCTGCGGGGGGCCCACAGCATCACCGGGGGAGCAGCTTCCCGTCAGTGCCTTGGGACCAATCTCTGCTGGGCAGAAGGTGGGCTGCTGTTAAGAGAGGTGCTTTTTCAAGAGAAGCTAGAAGTTATTTTTAAGTGAAAGTTCCAGAAGTTTCTATAGAGTAATATTTTAAAATCAAACAATTTTTAATGGTTCTAAAATCAATTCCAATTTTGATCAACTGATTTTATATCAAATGAAACAAAATGCACTAGGTGTGATTCTCTGCATATCAGGTTATAACAGCCCTGGGGGTAGAGAAAGGGTTCTGGTCTGCACCCCATGGCCGGAGACGCCCCCAGCTACATTGAGCAGGAAAGCAGAGGCGGACCCTTCACAATGTGCTCTGGCGGCACCTGCCCAGGCTCGGCCCCTGCCCAGGTGCAGTCCCTGCTGGTAGGAGTTCTACAACATTAGGAGCTGAATATACATTTGAGAATTCAATTAATACATACAATATTGCCCGAATGTTATTTATAACAGTTTAAAATCATGTTTTAGGTCAGATTATATGGCTTGTTTATTTTTTAAAGATTTTATTTATTTATTTATCTTCAGAGGGGAAGGGAAGGAGAGAGAGGGAGAGAAATATCAATGTATGGTTGCCTCTCGTGCATCCCCTGCTGGGAACTGGCCTGCAACCCAGGCATGTGCCCTGACTGGGAATTGAACCACAATCCTTTGGTTCTCGGGCCCACGCTCAATCCATTGAGCTACACCAGCCAGGGCTATATGGCTTGTTTTATACATTTTACACTCTATAGTTTAATAGGCAAACTAATCCGGGGGGAGGGGCTCAAATGTGCTCAATTTTAACCAACTAATTCTTTCATATTTTGAAACGGACCTTATTTCCATTCGCAAATTCAACATTGTAACGCACTTGTTAATCTCCCTACTCAATATGGACGCTCAAATGTAAGCAGAAATTCCAGTCTCAGTTAGTCCTCAGGTCACAAGACGAGGCTCCGGCTCTCACGACCGCTGTGTGTGCACAAAGCCACGGGCGTCCGAAAACTGGGCCTGGCACGGTCCGGAGGGGAAAGTGGACACGGGGCTCCACTCAGCCCCTTCTAATTCTGGGACATGGGACACACCCGACCCCCAGAGCACTACTTTCCTCGTCTGTGACAGCGGGGTGACCGGGGTGACGATAATCCGCAGCCTGCCCACCCTGGGAGTCATGAAGGCAGCACGAGCTACAGTGTGTAAAGTGCTCTGTGAGCTCCCCGGTGCCGAACAGACACACTTCGTGATTCTCAGCGGTGAGAATGGAGTTGGGAGCAGTGAGCACTGTTTAACACTGAATGCTAATCAGAGCCTTTCCCGAGGGCGACGGAAACGTGCGTGACACTGAGTGGCCCACGTTCACTGACCGAAACAGTGTGAGGTTTATGCTTTAAAAAGAACTCGGATGTAAAGGCATCAACCCTCATCTAACCGAATGTTAAATAAAGTAAACTTCACTGATAAGAAAGCTACCATCAGCACTGATGTGACTAAAATGAAGAACAACCAATAAAGTTGTAATTACGTTAAAAAAAGAACAGTTGGGCAAACCTACCTTCCAATTTGCCAGTTTTTTAAACTCTATAATTTTTATGACTGCTCCCATGAGAATACCTAGAAAAGAAAATGTAAGTTTAACATAAATTTAAGGTACAAGGAAGATTACTCAGGTTTATTATTCTAGAGAAACTGAATATCATTATGTCTCTAAATGGCTTTTATGGATTTCTGCAAGTTTTATGTCTGAAAACTTAAGAATCGGAATTAATGTGAAGTTGTATGAGTTACATGAGTTTCTCACTTGCATTTCAGGCAAACATACTATAATGAAAATTATAAAAATTTGGGGGAGGGGGGCGGGAGAAAAAGCTTTACAAAATAGGACCCAGGAACAGTCTGCCTGGCATAGAAGATTTAACACCTTTCATTTTCCCCCCATCTACCCATTTTCAATGTGAAATGGGAGAAATCTCACAAGCTAAGTCTGCCCCTTGTCCCTACCATTAAAAAAAATGAGCCCAGATCCCCTTCTCAGACTCGGACGGCAGCTCGGTGTATAGTGTTCAGTTGGAGATAAAACTGCAATGCTGAAAATAGCCTACAGTAAAAATTCAGTGAAATCCCAGGGAAAAAACAGACCATCTGAGTTCAGCCATGTTTCTATATAGCTGATGGGCTCATTACCCTCTCATAAAGAACCCATCAGAAACAATTCTCAAAGAAGCATCATGAGCACAATTTAGGATTGTTGTGTTACTCACTAGACAAATGATTCTGAACCCTGCTGGCTCATCGGCGTCACCGTGGGAACTTTTCATAAACTAAAGCCGCCAGAGCGGAACTCCCGAATTACTGAATCTCAGCCTCGGTGGGGACAAAGCAAGCAGGAAGCCCCCTGTCGGAGACACTTAGGGATGAGAGAAAGCAGCTTTCCTCAGTCGACAACACAAAGCTGAAGAAACACAGCTCACTGGGAGGGGTAGGAGACGGCACTAAACCACAGTTTATTAGGAAAAGCAGCCGCACCGACACTAATTCCCACGGGCAAGCAGGGACTCGAGGTGAAGAGAGGAGATGAGCAATTGTAACCTCTATGCTATTTGGATTGTTATATGTTATTAAAGCCACAATGAAATTACTTTGAAGAGACCAAGACAAAGGGATCTGAGCTATAAAGGGAGGCTGTGGCCACACCTGCAGAACGGGTCTGTGCCTTCACTCGCCAGACGCAGGAGCGCACTGACTCTGCCCCTCTCCAGCTAGTTCGCCGGTTGCTTCTTTTTCCTTGCTGGTTCAAATTGTGCATACATGTTAAGGAGTTTCATATACATGTTTATGGAGCAGATAGTTCATGAAAACTTTGTGAAATGTTACAAAAAAGACAAGTCCCTTCTGATGAGACCCGCCCCCCACTCTCACCTTAGTTCTCTCTCTTCCTGCCCCAAGGAACCAACCATCTTGATGTGTTCTCGGAATATTTTACCAGACCCTTCTCTGCCCCCTTAGAGATTTATATTTAACCACATGGTCCTGGCGTGTGTGTGTGTACACATAAGGCACATCTGCGTATATTTGTATGAAATTTATGGTGCTGTGATGTATCTTCTTACCATTTTCTGTTTTGCTCAGTGTTAAGTCTCGATCCATGTGTAATAATAGATCAGAGATTACTATGTGGCATTCTGCCTCATTCCTTTTAACAGCTCTACAGCCTCGCATAAGAATGCCACAGACTGAATAGATATTTCTCCAAAGAAGATACAGACATGGCCAAAAAGCACATGAAAAGATGCTTAACAACATTAGTCATCGGGGAACTGCAATTCAAAACCACAATAAGATACTTCTTCACACACACTAGGATGGCTGTAATAAAAAAAAAATGTGGAAAACGAGCGCAGGCAAGGCCCCAGAGGAGAAACTGGAACCCCCTGCACTGCTGGTGGGAACGTGGAGTGTGGCGATCGCCGTGGGGAAACAGCTGGGCAGTCAGCCCCTCGGGAAGTTACACTGAGTCACTGCGAGACTCGGGAATTACACCAAGACAACTGAAAACACACTTTGCTACAGAAACCTGTGTGTGGATGTTCACTGACCGTGTTAGTCATCACAGCCCAAGGGTGGATACTGCCCAAACGTCCACAAACTGATGAACGGACTGGACGACGCGGTCTGCCCACACCAGGGAACAGTGTCCAGCACTGAACAGGAATAAAGCACTGGTTCATGTGGCATGTGATGGACCCTGAAAACACGGACGTGAAAGGAGCCAGACACAAAGACTGTTTTATGATCCATTTATATGAAATATCCAGAATAGGCAGGTCTATAGGGACAGAAATGGTTGCCCAGGATTGAGGAGTAGGGCATTGGGGGTGATAGCTTTCTTTTTGGGGTGATGAAAATGTTCTAAAGTCAATTATTCTGAGGGTTGCACAATTCTGTGACTATACTAAAAGCACTGAATTGTATATTTAAAGTAGATAACTTGTATGGTATGTGAATGTATCTCAATAGAGCTGTTACTAAAAAATGGCCACAGGTTGCATGATTCCATTTATATGAAATGTTCAGAATGGGCAACTCTACAGACAGGAAGCCAATTAGCAGCTGCCTGAGGAAGGGGGCAGGGGGACACGGGGAGTGACTGCTACGAGTAGAGGGCCTCTTTCTGAAGTGATGAAAATGTTCTGGAATTAGACAGTGGTCGTGGCTGCGCCACTCGGTGACTATACAGAAAAGCGGTGAATTGTGCACTTGGAAATTGCTAAGTTTATGGTATGCACATTATATTTTAATTTTTTCAGTCACAGTTTTAAAAACTATTCCGCCAAGAATGGCTGTCTCCAAGTGTTCGCTGCTAACAGTGGGCTGCAGTGAACACCTCTGTGCACGCCTCTTGTGTAAGAGTATTGCCCGGGGGCGGGTCCAGAGACAATGAATGGCAGGAGCTTTCTTCCCCCTAAAAGGCTGCCCAGTCGTCCTCTGAAGTGACCCTGCTGCTGTCCACCAGAGCAACCCCACATCCTCACCAATCCTGGATAATGGTCAGACTTGAACATTTCTGCCAATATGGTGGGCAAGACACTGTACTTGAAGGTTTCAGTTCCCATTTGCAGTCACTCTGCCTTCAGCAATCATTCCTGAACACTAGGGAAGTTGAACCTCTTCTCATGGTTTCAGACTTCACTTTAAAAGCAAGTGCTTTTCTTTGCTCTACTAAAACCTCAACTTTCTTTTTCCCTTGTAAATGCACACCAAACTTTCATACCACGATTAACACTCGTAATTACATACGAAGCAGTAACATTCGAAAATCAGTAATTATTCTGTTGCCTAAGCTTGTTTTTGTGTTATTATTCATGAGGCATGGTTCCCAGGCCTTGGTCACACAGTACGTTTCTTCCAAGAGTTTGCACGTCGAAAATCATACATGTACATGTGCTTGTACACAGAAAACCACTTTTAAGACATGTGGCACCCACCGTTCTATTTCTAGCTGACACCGTATCTCAGAAACCATTCCCCATCCAAGCATACAGAGCTCCGCTTCTTGTTTTGTTGAGGGCCGCAGGGCCTTCCCCTGCAGTGATGTGCCACCCCCCAGCCTGTCCCCTAGCCCTGCCCTTGGGTGTGTCCCAGGCTGGTGCTCTCACTGACGTTCGTCTGAGCAGACACTTCACTCCACATGTGGGCAAGTACCTGCAGGAAAACCTCCTGAAACGGGGGTCACTGGGCCCAAGTACAGGCAGTTTTAATTTTGTAGAGAGCTTACCAGCTGCCTTCTGTGGCAAACGCTGTGTGGCCGGCCGAGTCCCCTTGACTGGTCTGTGAGACCTGCCGTGAGTGGTGGCTAAGTGCTTACAGCTCTCCCCCTTCTCCAGAAAACCTACTTAGTTGCCCAGAGGCTCCTCATGGCAGAGGCTGTGCCCCCCTACACCCCCATGGCCAATGGTAACTGATGGGGGCACGGATGTGTAGCCCCCCTGCTCTAAGGAAGGGCCAGCTCTGCGGTCAGTTCTTGCTGCAGAGCCCCCCTCCCAAGGCTCAGGCTGGACTTGCCCTGAGACCCCACCCCATGTTTGGCTCTCTTTCTCTACTCTGGTGCACTCCCCTCCTCACAGATCATTCCTGAAGAGCGCCCCTTAATAAATTACATGTCCTCAAACCTCTCGTAGGCTCCATTCAGGAGCCAACCTAAGATAATTGGTTCCAGGAGTGGAGTGGCCACAGGGAGCCAACTTGAAATATGGGGCTCAGGAGCAGGCTGGCAATGAGGACCCCGGCACTGGCGGTGAAATACTGAGAACCCCTCACCTGGGTGGCAGTGCCATGGCTTAGACTTGCCGTTGGGGTGGACAGGGCCAGGACGCTGGTGGCTTGTGCGGTACCTCCGCTGTTGGAGAGACAGGGAGAAACAGTGCCCATCACAGCAGCGGGACCGTGTGGTCGCTGCTGAATGCCACTGCCGCACTGAAGGAGAAAATGACAGGCTCAGACAACCCAGCTGAAAGCGAAAGGCAGGAGTCAGAGGGCCTCCTCAGCAGTGTGCAAACAGAGCCTTCATCTCCTGCAGCTGGGGCTTCTAGAGCTGAAGACCAGGTATGGAACTTAACAGTAAGAGTGGCAGGTGTTCGAGAAAGCGGAACTCAAGAAGGCAATTCTCCGACGCCTGCCCTCCCACGGTCCTGATCAGACAGAAGCAGGACTCGGAGATGTGGGGCAGGGGTATGGGGGGATGCACCCGGGCACCTTCAACCTTCAGATTCCTGTGAACCTCCTGGGCCTGCAGAGGTTGCGCCCACCTCCCTGTGGGACTGTGGAGCTCCCCAGACTACTTCGAGATTACACAGAAGTTCCAAATGAGGCAGGTGCCTTATGTGACTCCTGCTTTCTCGTCATATATAGCCCCAAAGGATCTAGGCCATATGGACAGTCCACAGGTCAACACTCTGGCCCACTATCCAGCTGACATCATGCGGATCTGGTATACAAATAAGAAGGTGTCTTGGTAAGACACACGCCTCCAATGACACAAAGTGTCAGGAGTCTGCCCGTCTGTGAAGTTTTTAGGGGTCAAGAGGCTGGAGGGTGCCAGGACATTCCCTCCAAGT